CTGAAAGTGTCTGCACATATCAATCAGGTCTTCCAACCTTTCCTCTGATAATAATTGCTAACTTTGAACATGTTGTTTTGCCACTCCCCTGCAACCCAACAAACATAATCACATTCTGTTTTCCTTTAGTAGGTATCCATGCTTTAACTCCAGGGTCTACAAGCTTTACAAGTTCTTTAAATGCAGCATGCTGAATCATTTCTTCAAGATCAATAGCAGACTTAACATTTTCTCTCAGTTGCTTCACTAGTTTAATATTAACATCTGCTTCCGATAATGCTGTACATGCTTCCTTTAGCATAGCATTAATACCTCTTGCTTGATAATGGTGGCATTGCCCAGTGAGCATAATGTTGATGTTATTTTTCTTCCAAGGTCTGCGAGTACCATCTTGAAGGCTTTAAGATGTGCTTATGACTCACGAAAGGCACCAGTAACGCCGTGGCCCTGAGAGACTAAGGGTTTCTTCGAGAGGCCCTGCACCCTGGGAGGAAAACCAGGAAAACTTGGGAGTAGACAGACAGGAGTGGTCCCACAACCTGACTTCCTGAACCATATAAACTAGGGGCCCAGCGCCCAGCACTGCGACACCAACTCCCACCAGCTGGAAGACTGGTGACTTACACGTTTAAAAACAAATGAGATGGGGGCTGGTGCTGTGGCACAGCGGGTCAAGCTGTTGCCTCTGGCACTGGGATCTCCCATATAGGTGCTGATTTGAATCCTGGCTGCTCCACTTCCAATCCAGCTCCCTACTAATGCACCTGGGAGAGTAGTGGAAGATGGCCCAACTGCCCAAATGTACCCTCATGGGAGACCTGGAAGAAGCTCCTGGCTCCTGGCTCCTGGCTTTGGGTCTGCCCAGCCCCAGCCGTTATGGCCATCTGGGGAGTAAACCAGCAGATGGAAGATTTCTCTGTTTCTCTCCTTCCTCTCTTTCGCTGTAACTTTGCCTTTCAGATAAATAAATAAATCTTTAAAAATGAGGTTAGGCTAAAATTGTTCAGAAACTTGTGTTTTTAAAAAAGATTACTTATGTATTTGAAAGAGGTACAGAGAGGGAGTTCACGGGGGTGGGGGAGATCACTCTTCCATCTACTGGTTCACTGCCCAAAGCCCCAAACAGATGGGGCTGGGCAAGGCAGAAACCAGGAGCCAGAAGCTCTGCCCAGGTCCTCCCATGGATGAAGGCCCACGTACTTGAACCATGACCTGTTGTGTCCCTGGTGCAGTCAGCAGGATTGGAAGTAGAGGCAGGACTCAATCTTGGACGCACTGGTGTGGAATGCAGGTGTCTCACGAAGCAGCTTAACATGCTGGCCACAGTGTATTTGTACTTTAAACATGATATATCTTTTTACAACATTTTCATAGATTTATTTATTTGAAAGGCAAAGCAATAGGAAGAGACAGAGAGAAAGACCTTCCATCTGCTGGTTCACTCCCCAAATGCCTGCACCTAAACCAGGCCAAAAACAGAAGCCTGCAAGTCCATTGAGGTTTCCCACATGGGTATCAGGAACCCAAGTACTGGGGTCATCGTCTGCTTCCTGGTGTATTAGCAGGAAGCTGAATCTGAATGAGGCACAGAGTAGGCAGGACTTGAACCACATCTCTGATATAGCAGTGGCTCAATCCATTGGACCACAGTGCCCGTCCTAACCATGGCATAACTTAACTTCTTTCCACAGTCATAGTCTTCTTAGCAGTTATATATTATTCCAGTATACTGATATACCATAAAGTGTTTTACCCCTTCTATTGATGGGCAAGTTATTTTCCATTTTTAGCTGTTAAAAGGATATGACACATGTCTTTACATAGTTGTACAGGTATGTCTGAAAGAGTCTCAGCAGACAACTAAAAAGATCAATAAATTTGCATATTTAAAATTATAGTAATTAATTGCTAAGTTTTCCTGTGAAAACATTACAATAGTATATACTCCCACAGATGGTGTTTGAGAGTACTTTCTCCCCCACACCATTTCCAGTATTAGCATGATAATACCTTACAAATTATGTCATTTTTATTTGAAAATTTATAAATAAAAATATATTTTTATTTATTTGAAAGTCAGAGTTACAGAGAGAGAGAGAGAGCAAAAGAGAGTGAGGTCTTCCATCCACTGGTTCACTCCCCAGATGGCCACAGTGGCCAAGACTGAGCCATTCCGAAGCCAGCAGCTAGGAGCTTCATCTGGGTCTCCCACGTGAGTAGCGGGGCCCAAACACTTGGACCATCTTCTGCTCCTTTTCCCAGGCCATTGGCAGGGAGCTTGATCAGAAGTGGAGTGGCCGGGACACAAACCGGCTCCCATATGGGATGCCAGCATTGCAGGTGGCAGCTTTACCTACTATGCCAATGCCGGCCTCTGTGTCAACTTATTATTTTAAATTTTTTATATTTATTTGAAAGGCAGAGACTGACAGAACTCCCATCTGCTGGTTCACTCCCTAAACGCCTTTGGCTTTTGGGCCAGGGCAAAGCTAAGAAAGGGGAGTTCCATCCAGTTCTCCTGTGTGAATGGCAGGGGCCTAAGTATTTGAGTCATCATCTGTTGCCCTCTAGGGCATGCATTAGCAGGGAGCTGGAATTAGGAGCTGAGCTGAAACTCTTATTCAGGCACTGTGATGTGGGATGTGGGTGTTCAGTTAGTGTCTAAACTGCTAGGCGAAATGCCATCCCCAGATAACTGTGTCAGTTGGAGAGTTAAAAACGGTGTATCACTGTTTCCATTTGCATGTCTTTATGAGTCAGGTTGAGCTTTTTAAGTTTTTTCTTTTTAGTAATTTGTATTTTGTTTTCTCTGAATTTGCTCATTTCTAGTATTTGTCTTTTTTTTGTTGTTTAAGATTTATTTATTTATTTTGAAAGAGTTACAGAGACGAGAGAGAAGAGAGATCGTCCATCTACTGCTTCACTCTCCAGATGGCTCTAACTGTGCCAGGCCAAAGCCGGGAACCAGGATCTTCATCCAGGTTTCCCACCTGGGTGGCAGGAGCCCATCTTCTTCTGCTTTCCCAGACACATTAGCAGGGAGCTGGATGGAACTGGAGCAGGTGGGACACAAGCCAGTGCCCATATAGGATGCTGGCATCGCAGGTGGCAGCTCAATCCACTATACCACAACGCTGGCTCTGATTGTTCGTCTTTTTATCTTGACTTCAGTGAACTGTTCAGTTAAGAAATTGGCTCAGGGAGCCAGTGCCGTGGCTCACTTGGTTAATCCTCCGCCTGCAGCACTGGCATCACATATGGGTGCCAGTTCTAGTCTCGGCTGCTCCTCTTCCAGTCTAGCTCTCCACTGTGGCCTGGGAAGGCAGTGGAGGATGGCCCAAGTGCTTGGGCCCCTGCACCCGCATGGGAGACCAGGAGGAAGCACCTGGCTCCTGGCTTTGGACTGGCGCAGTTTCGACTGTAGTGGGCATTTGGGGAGTGAACCAATGGAAGGAAGACCTTTCTCTCTGTCTCTCTCACTGTCTATAACTCTACCTGTCAAATAAATTTAAAAAAAAAGATTATTTTCATGAATGAATGTCAATGTGATCTTATGAGATATTACTATGTAGAATAATGACATTGAAAAAAAAAAAAAGAAATTGGCTCAGGACTATTGTAACCTCGAGGGAGCACAATTTTGAGTTCCTGCTCTTGCTTTGCATAGTGTTTGTTGTTTACTTTGAGTAACACCCCTAATCCTCACAGTGCCCTGTAGCTGGGATGAGGGGCACTGAGATCCAAGCCATCCCTGGCTCCACATCAACCCAGCAGTCTGGGAGTTTATGGCCAGCACCAGGCAGGCGTGTCCTCCAGGATCCCAAGCAGCAGAAGAGTGTATGTTTGAGTAGCACCTGTCAGTTTTAGTTCATCTGGGCATTTGAATTGCTCCCTCTTTTCAATACTTTATATTATTCTGTATTAAATTCACTTCTGAAACCTGGGGCTTCCCCCCCCCCTTTTTTTTTTTTGAGGCTTGTAGAATCCCCTCTCCTTTTTAAAATCGAACTTTATAATCCTTGGCTTCTAACCTTTGGCTTCTATGCCTTGACATGGAATTGCAGATGGGAACTCTGTGTAGATCTCCTTAGATTTAAAAAAAAAAAAAAAAAAGCCGGCTGGCTGGTGGTCCAAGTCAGAGCCCCAGGAGCAGTGTTGGCTAGGAGGGGCTTTCTCCACAGGCCACCGTACCGTGTCCCTCCACGCAGCCTGAGCAGAGTGGGGCTCAGGCTCCAGCAGCCTGGGCTGTCACGGTTGTGTGGCATTTGACAGCTTTTATATTTTAGTTGCTTTCTGATTACTCGTGTGAGAGAGCGAATTTTGCAGTGCTCGTGGCCAAGGACATACGGAAACGAACAGGCTGAGTCTTGCAAATGTTTTGAGGCTTCGTGACTTTCCCATCTCAGGTCGTGGCTGACCTATGGTCTGGGGGGTGCCAAGGTTCCTTTGCAAGACTGGAAACAGGAGAAACCAGTCGGCTTTTGACATTTTACTGCTATTGCTGTTCTGCTCTGGGGACATACATCTGCCTTGCAGCCCTCTCTCTCTCATGTCTTTCTATTCCTGGCGTGTAGCTGTTTGGTCACTTTTTGTCCCCCTCCATTCCCCTTCAGTGGCCCCATCTCTCAGGAATCAGCCTTGTTCTGTGCCTTCCCCCAAGAGCTGTCATGTTGTATTTCATAGCAAATGAAAGAAGGCTAAACAACAGAGCCGCTCGCTGACCCTGCCCTTCAAATTGTGGGGTTTGTTTCTAAGTGTTTAATTTATACTGTTCCCAGGAACTTGGCCATGACACATGAAAGGGTTTGTTCAAGCATGAGCTTTGTAGACAGAAGAGCCTTTCTCTGCAGCTGCCGCTGGAGGAAATGTCACGTTGGCATCTCCTCCGACGGACGGTTGTGAAGGGGAGCCAAGGCTGGGTGCAGCTGCAGTGACGTCCGGGGCACAGAGGAGCGGCTCCCCAGGGTCTCTCAGGAGTTTGTGTGTTCTTTTCTCCTCAGATGCTGATCGGTCTTGCTGGCTACCTGAGTGGATATGATGGTACCTTTTTGTTCCAGAAGCCTGGAGACAAATATGAGCACCACAGCTACATAGGAATGAGAGGAGTAAGCTTCCTGTTTTGCTATAGACAGACCGAACCCTGGGACCACACTCAGTCTGGAACGTTGCAGTTGGAAGTTCTAGAGTGGTGGCAAGTGTGGCTGAAAGGACTTCAGGGTAGGGGGTGGAAGGGAGGGGGATTGGATCCACCTGGGTAATACAGAGATTCAGAACCCGGGTAGGGAAGAAGGGAAGGCCAGGTCACAAATAATGCAGAGACTACACAGATAGGAGCAAGCCCACACTGTTACCCCTTACCCTGTCCGTGTGTGGCATCAGATTTCAGGTGGGGAGCAGCCCGGAGCTGGGCTGTTGGGACAGCTGTCCTCAGTGCCAGGGCATGCAGCGCCTCCTCCCTGTTTGCAGCTGCAGCTGCTGCACGCTTGCTGCCTTTGAGAGCCTGTTCCGAAGAGTGTGGCATCCCCACACCCTATCATGAAGTTTCTACGTCCTTCCCCATGAAGGTGTCAGGCACACATGTGCAGCTGTGAAGTTGACATTGGCTGTGTGGTTCTGTGCCCTGGTCCCCAGCACTAGCCTTGGGGGACCATGGTGGGGCCTAAACACCCAAGTCTGCGGGAACCCTGTACTGTAGCTCAACGAAACCTGCAGAAGCTGACCGCTGGGGCTTACACGGCACTTGACATTCCTTGAGGGTCTCAAAGCATTTTAGATAAATGGCTGTGTACTTATCTGGGGTAATCAGGGGATGATTTGCATGATCAGATCATGCCACATAAATGAGGAGTGTTGGAGTGAGTGCTTGGCATAGCAGTTTAGCCACGCATTGGGACACCTGCATCCCATATTGGAAGGCCCAGGTTTGAGTCCTGGCTCCCGATTCCAGTTCCCTGCGGATGCATAACTCTGGCAGGCAGCAGGTGATAGCTCTAGTGGTTGGTTCCCTTCCACCCACGAAGGAGACTTGAATTGAGTTTCTGGCTCCTGACTTTGGCCTGGCTCAGCCCTGCCTGTTGTGGGCATTTGGGGAGTATGCCAGCAGATGGGAGCTCATTCACTGTGTCTGTCTTTCGCTCTATTAAATAAATAAATGAATAAATAAAAACTTAAACAAAGAATGTCTCCTACCTGTAAGTTCATACCCTACAGTGATTCTGTGTCTCCCTAGTAACTCCTGAACACCATGTAGTGTACGTAATTGGTTGCAGGCCTGACTTCACTGTAGACTTGCTACAGATTCTGAGAAGGCCAGATGAAACAGCCTCATTTGTTCTTTTTCACGCTAGGACGCATTGCTTTCTGTTTACAAAAACATGCAAGCCCTGGTGGGAATTTCCCATTCTTTGGACTTGTCTGTTTACCGGTGGTGGGTGTGGTGGGAAATGGAAGAGGCATTGTGATTTTGAAAGACAGAAGCCCGAATAACCCTCTAGGTCCTGAAGTGTTGAGCAGTCTTACCAAGCTCAAAATATATCCTGTAGATTAAAGAGTAGTTTCTGGTGTGATTGAAGAAAAGAATTGGGAGAAATAACATCAGAATTCTCTAAAATACCAAGATATTTTCAGAGAAGTCTCTGTTAACTTGTGTCCATTGTTTTGTAATAGAAGCTAATGTTTACAGTTACTTTCTGTGTGTTACTAAAACTTCAGCTCATTCTCTTCTCAGGGTATGCCTACAAGGTGGGAACTTTTGTTTTTCACTTTACACAGATGAGGAAGTTGAAATACAGAAGTGATTTCTCAGGGCCATAGCTAGCAAGGAGGGGCAGTGCCCCCCCCCCGCCCCCCCCCCGCCCCGTGAACTTTGCTGATTTCATGTGAATGCAGCAGTTACTGCTGGGGTAGAGCAGGCGCACATGTGTGTGTATTGCTTGATTTTTTTAAAGATGTATTTATTTATTTATTTGAAAGTCAGAGTTACACAGAAAGAGAGGAGAGGCAGGGAGAGAGAGAGAGGTCTTCCATCCGCTGGTTCACTCCCCAAATGGCCACAATGGCCAGAGCTGTGCCCATCCAAAGCCAGGATCCAGGAGCTTCTTTCCGGTCTCCCACATGGGTGCAGGGGCTTAAGGCCTTGGGCCAGCTTCTACTGCTTTCCCAGGCCATAGCAGAGAGCTGGATCGGAAGTGGAGCAGCTAGGACTTGAACCGGTGCCCATATGGGATGCCAGCTCTTCAGGCCAGGGTGTTCACCTGCTGCACCCACACTGGCTCTGTATTGCTTGATTTGACTCTTCCCTATACCGTCCGACCTCTTATTCATAAATATTGTAGGTGATTTTTGGTCATTAGAAGCATGACCTCATCAGGGTTCTCCATCTTAAACTTCATTTGCGCAGAGTCAGGTGGGTCCCCGATGCTTGGTCTAGCTTGCTGACAGCACTTCTGTTCCTTCTGTAGTTCTGTGCATTCCTTGGTTCCTGGCTGGTCCCCTTCGCCTACCTCACTGTATTGGATCTGTCCAGGTCCCTGCCGGCAGCACTGCTCACTGCTGCCCTCCTCACCTTTGGTAAGCTGTCTTGCACTATGTTTTTAGGGAAATGGGTTGCAACACTGTGACTGTCGTTAAAAATCCACCTATTCAGGGATCCTGTCCCTGGGCCCAGTTCTTAATTAGCTTCAGGATTGGATAAAATGTATTACAAATCACATTCACCAGTGACACTCGCATATATAAATACTTTAATTTAGCAAGCTTTTATGTTATGGAAAGGAGCAGTAAGCATGGGTAATCCTTGGGAATAGATTATCTCTGAGTTACCCACATTTGAGTTTGGAATGGATGATAATATAAATTTGTGTATGTGTGCATGCTGTGTGTTTGAAGGAAGTTACAATTTTAGTGTAACTTCTCTTAGATTATTGTTTAGATTAGTGCATATTCCCTAAAAAATTCCAAAGGCAGGTGTCGTGAAAGTATGTAGGTGGCAGGGGACAGCAAATTAGGAGCTTACATATTCTCATGGATAATCCTCTTACAGGTAAATGAGAGTTGATGATAGAAGTCCATTCTGTTCAGGGGCCAGTGTCGTAGCACAGCCAGTTAAGAGGCCACCAGCGACACCTGAATCCTGTGGGAGTTCTGCTTCAAGTCCCAGCTGCTCCACTTCTGAACCAGCTTCCTGTTAATGCATCCTGGGAGGCTGTGGGTAGTGATAGCTCAAGTGCTTTGACCCCTGCCACCCACGTGGGAGACCCAGATTGAGTTCCCGGCTCCTTGCTCAGCTTTGGCTCTTGGGAACATTTGGGAAGTAAACCAGTGAATGGAAGATCTGTCTCTGTCTTTCTCTCTCCTTTATTTTTCTCCCCCTCCCTTCTTCTCTATCTCTCCCTCCCTCCCTCCCTCCCTCCCTATCTCTGTTTTTATTGCTCTGCCTTTCAAGTAGATGAAAATCAATAAATAAACGTTAAAGAAGTTGATCACATTTTGGCCTTGTTCTTCAAGGCTAGAGAAGTGAGTTTATGACCTCATGGAGCTTAACATTTCAAGAGGTCCACACTAGTTTAGGTGGGTATTGTAGAGGCTTGTCTGAAAGATGGGCGGCTTTGTTTTGATGGATATTTAGCAAGATTATGGGGTCTCTTTGTAGAGAACTGGCTGTTTTTCCTTTTATCTTTAATTTCTCTCTTGAGTTACTCATTCCTTATTCATTAGTTCGTTTTTCATTCAATCACTATTTCTTAGTGACTACCGCTTTTCTTGGCCTCAGAGGATACACTCCTGAGCCACTGTGCTCTCACAGGGCTTAGCTCTAGTGGGGCAGGCAAATAAGCAAGTAGATTATCGTCTCCTGTGCCACATCTCAAGCAGTAAATGCGGTGTAGAAGATAACAGGGGTAAGGGTGGAGTGGGGGAGATCAGTGCTGTTGTAGGTAGGCAGTGAGGAGCTTTCTGAGAAGGCGGCTGTGAGCAGAGGCTGAGTAAGGGGAAGCATCAAGTCACACAGTGAGCTGAGGGACAAGGGAGCAGCTGTGCAGCAGCTGTGGCGCTTAGTGCTCTGGTGAGGGTGGAGTGAGTGAGTGTGGTGGAGGGTGTTGGGAGATGAGGTTGAAGAGGCCTGCTTGGCAGCTCTCACAAGAATGTGGTGGTCCGAGTGACATGGGAAGATATTGGAGGGCTTAAATTACCCTAGTTCATGTTTGGAAGAATGGCCTCCAACAGAGACCATTTATGAAGTGATAGTCTCTCTCATGTGTATAGGTAGTTTGTGGCTATGTAAGGGAGATGGCAGAACTTCCTTTTTGATGATGGAAATGGGGAAAAGATGATCTTTTTTTAAAAAAAGATATATTTATTTATTTGAAAGAGAGGGAGGGACGGAGGGAGGGAAGGAGGAAGGGAGAGAGAGACAGAGAAGGAGAGAGGTCTTCCATTGCTGGTTCATTCCCCAAATGGCCAGAACAGCTGGGGCTTTGTCAGGCTCAAACCAGGAACCAGGAGCTTCATCCAGGTCTCCCACGTGGATGCAGGGGCCCAAGCACTTGAACCATCTTCTGCTGCTTTCCCAGGCGCATTAGCAGGAAGCTGGATTGGAAGCAGAGCATCCTGGACTCAAACTGGTGCCTGTATGGGATGCCCTGTAGGCAGTGGCTTTGCCTGCTACGCTACAGTGCTGGCCCCAGGAAAAGACCATCTTAAAGCTGCTCTGAGTGACATGATCCTCTGTTGGGTTGAGGGCCTAGAGGCAGTGTGAGATACTTTTCCCTGTCATTGGGCAATGGTGTACCCCAAAGCTGTGGCCCTCTGCCTCCCTGATGACTCAGTGGTCCATCTAGTTGTGGCTGCACAAATGTTTACACACGTTTAGCACATGGGAGTAGGAGGGTGGGGTACTGTGTCCTTCTGCTCGGGTGTTTGGTCTTCAGGGGTCCCCCTCTTGACTGCTTTCTGAGCTCATGTTTTTCAGACACAGGATGCCTTACACTGTCCCAGTACATTCTCCTTGACCCCATCCTGATGTTCTTCATCATGGCTGCCATGCTGAGCATGGTCAAGTACAACTCCTGCGCTGACAGGTCAGAGCACCACCTCTGGGAGGGGAGGGACAGGAGCTGTGGCAGCTGCAGAGTTTAATGGCCTTTGAGAGAGTAGAAGAAGTGGTTCATTCTCTTCAAACCACAAGAATTAGCACCTCCAAGGCTTTTCTGGAAGTCAGCTTAGTTTCACCCTTGGCCAGCCTCATCCGGCTGCATTATGTTAATTAAACCTGGTCTGGGGACCATCCACTCTGGCTTTGGATCTTCTCCTCCTACCACATGGACTTGTATCTATCTGCCTTTTCTAGAATACATACTGTGTGCCAGGTACCATGCTAGGAGATAGAGGTACAGAGGTCTACAGACCTTGGCTGTTAAAGAAAACTTACTGTGGCAGGAGAGGCAACCAGATAATCAGAAACTGCAGCACAATGTACCAGGTGCTACAGCACAGCAAAATAGTGAGGAACATGGACCTTGGAAGTGACTCCCTGGGCTAGAGCCATGTTCCCCCACTTGCTTGCTATCTTAGCTTCTCTGTACCTTGATTTCCTCACATGTAGAAAGGATGATAATGGGATCTGCCTCATGGGGTTATGGTGAGTACATTTGCGGACAGCACTTGGAATGATGCCTGGCTCATAGTAAGCTCTCAAGAACTGCCGACTCCAGCAGGAGCAGAGGTGATACAAAGGCTGAGTGAATCCAGCAGACTTCTGTGGGTTTTCCTTTTCCTTCTACTTGGTTGGCCATGAGTGACGAATGAGCCCATTTACCTTGAGCCCTGCTGTTGGCCAGGAAGGCCGTGGATCCTTTTGCCAGAAAAACACCTGACTCACTCTCAGACTGTGAGGTGCCTGCAATTTCAGGGGTTTCACAGGTCACATCCTCCTTGGGTCCTTGCCATGGTGCCCTGAGGCTAGGACCCACGGGAGAGGGCACAGCACAGCCTCTCTGAGTCAGAGAACCTCTGCCCAGTCTCTCTGCTGCTCTTGCTGTGACGTTGACTTCCAGCTGCCAAATCGAACTCTGTGTCTTGTTGGTTTTCAGGCCTTTCTCTGCCCCCTGGTGGTTCTGGCTCAGCCTGACGGGCATCAGCCTCGCTGGTGCGTTAGGTGTCAAGTTTGTTGGCCTCTTTATCATCCTGCAAGTGGGATTGAACACCATTGCAGACCTTTGGCACCTGTTTGGAGACCTCAGTATTTCACTGGTGAGAACCCAAGTGCTCATAGAAATATCTTTCCTTCCTGTTATTTCTCAGCAGGAACCAGTGGCCTTTCCTGCCTCTGCTTTGGCTAGTGCAGCAGTGCATTCTGGGCCCTAGAGAGGCTGGACCAGCATCCTTGCATTACTCTTTTGGCATTTGTCTCTGTAATGCCTTTTTTTTTTTTTTTTGACAGGCAGAGTGGACAGTGAGAGAGAGAGAGACAGAGAGAAAGGTCTTCCTTTTGCCGTTGGTTCACCCTCCAATGGCCACCATGGCCAGTGCGCTGCGGCCGGCGCACCGTGCTGATCAGAAGGCAGGAGCCAGGTGCTTCTCCTGGTCTCCCATGGGGTGCAGGGCCCAAGCACTTGCACCATCCTCCACTGCACTCCCTGGCCACAGCAGAGAGCTGGCCTGGAAGAGGGGCAACCGGGACAGAATCCGGCGCCCTGACCGGGACTAGAACCTGGTGTGTCGGCGCCGCAAGGTGGAGGATTAGCCTATTGAGCCATGGCGCCGGCCTCTGTAATGCCTTTTACATTTTCTGCCAACTGCCCTTTCAGGCCAAATCTGTGGCAACCATGACTGGTGGGAGCCATAGGTAGAATGGGTGGGGTGACCTTCTCAGCACACTTGTCTTTTCCTAAACACTGTCTCTGTATCTGGGGAGCAGTGTAAGGCTTGTCAGGTTGTTATGATATTATTTATTAAGGGCTGGTACTATGCCAGTCACTGTGTGACATGCCACACCTTCATCCTCTGATTTATCCCTCATGTGAGGAATCGAGGCCCCGCCAGATGATAACTTTCCCAGGGTAGGTAAGAGGGAGAGCCAGGTTCCAACTTAGGATAGGCCAACTCCAGACCTCAGCTGCTTGGTTCTGGTGTTCTTCCACCACCTCTGAACCAAACACCCAACACATTTATTTGTTTGTTCATCCAGAAAAGGTATAGAAACTGCCCACTGAGTGTGAGATGCTTGGAATATGTAGATGAATAATACCTGCTTCCTTCCCCCTGGAGTCACTGACAAGAGAGAAGCAAACAGGCAGTTACAGCCCAGCTAGCAAGTGCTGTGAGAGCAGGGAGGAGGGTAGCAGTCCAGGAAGGCCTGGCAGGAAGCTGAGGCCAGAAGCAAATAGAAGAAGCAGTTAGCCACGTGGGGCTGTCCCGAGGCAGGGAGCATTGGGAAATGCAGGGAAGTCAGTGGGATTGGAATGTGGAGGGGACTGGTGAGCAGTGGCCCTGCAGAGGCAGGCAGTGCAGGGCTCTGAGCACAGTTTGGAGAGGCAGTAGAGGGCTGGCCCATGTGTATCTCTCTGCAGTGCCAGAGTGGTGGATGTTAGAGAGACATTGAGGGTTTCCACATATTCTTCTTCTTGTTGGCCAGTTGTTTTTTTTTTTTTTTTTTTTTATGATTATGACATCTACTTAAAAAGGTACATGCCATATAAGGTATAAGGAATAATGAGGCCTCATGCCCCCAACACCGCGCACTGGCCTCTGTTTGCAGATGACGGTGGGGAAACACCTGACTGCTCGCATCCTGTGCCTCATAGTGCTGCCTCTGGCTCTCTACACGGCCATATTTGCTGTGCACATCACAGTGCTGAATAAAAGGTACAGCTGGAGCCTTTCCAGAGTCTCCCTTCTGGTCTCTCTTTGGCCCCTAACTCCATAAATGGCCATGTGATTCCCTGGGTCTGGGGTCGGGGTGATAGGAAGGGGCCTGGGCTTTTTTCCTCTTTCTTCCCTACTGTGTTCTATCCCTGGGTATTCCAAGGGCTCAGAGAGGCCAGCAGTCTGACCAGAGGGAAGAGGAGAGAATTTTCTAATAGCCAAACACCTCTTCTCCCTAAACAAAGTCCCTCATGCTTTGCAAGGGTGGGCAGCCCTAAGGGTGTACTGTGGGAGTGGGGTGGTAACCATCAGCCCTGCAGTCAGAGCTCCCATGTCAGGAGTAGCTCCCAGATGTCAGGCGTTGTGTGCAGTGTTTTGTACCCACGATCTCATTTAGCCATAGCCATTTCTGAGTTATCATTGAGGGCTGAGGCTAAACAGTGCTCGATATGTTGCCCAAGTCACTCTGCTAGTAAGTAGCCAAGTTGGGATTTGGACCCCCGTTTCTCTGACTCCATTGTCCAAGGCTGTCTTGTGATACTTCACTGCCACTCTGATTCTACTTTCTAATGAACTAAGCTGAGTTCTCCCAGGGCTCCAGAGAGATCACAGTTTTTGCTCCACTGACTTGACTCTCTTCTGCCCCTCTTCCCCCACAGCGGTCCTGGTGATGGTTTCTTCAGTTCTGCCTTCCAGGCCCGGCTTTCAGGGAATAACCTGCACAATGCGTCCATCCCCGAACGTGAGTGTCTCTGGCTCTTCACAGAGGTCGAGGGTAGAGGGGTGGCTTGGGAGTTGAATTGAAAAAGAAGAGTGTGATCCCTTGAGTTATTTTAGCCTATAGATGGCAAAGTAGGAAGATGACCCAGTTAGATCTGGCAGGAAAACTCAAAAGAGTGAATCAAGACTTTGCAGAAGAAGACATCCTGGGCAATGAGCTCTTTGAGCCTAAAGAATCACTTCTTTGTGGCTTTCGAAGCCAGTGCTGGTGGAAAGGCCAGTTGGGGATCTGGCCAGTGGCCAAATTCCACACAGTATTCTGAGACTCACATCCATTCATTTATTCACAGGTGGTAACTGAGCCGATGTTCGCCCCGCAGAGCTACAGTCTGGGGGAGAGGGTCACCACACAACGTGATGTGTGTGTTGCGTCCATACAGAGGGCACACAGAGCTCGGGGGTTGAGGGTGCAACAGGTCACTGCTGTAGGGCAGCTGGAGATCAGAGTGCATGGATGGGCTGCTCTGGAGTTGGGGCCAGGAATGATGAGTAGATTTCAACAGATGGAGAGGGCATAATGAGGCAGAGGGATGGCATGATCAAAGCCCAGGACGGGACAGGACTCCAGCGTAGGTTATCTGCAGAAAGGTACTGGAAAGATAGGAAGATTGGGTCCAGATGATGAGGGTTTGACATGTTGAGATGAGGAATTCATTCAGCAGGCAGTGGAGACCTGGTGGAGGCCTTTGGGCAGGCAGGAGGTCAGGAGGGTTGTGCCGTAGGGAGATGACCTGCCCAGGAGCCTCAGTTTAAGTGTGCTTCAGGATGTTTGCACAAGGACGAAATTGGCTATTGCTTCATTTCTCAAAACCTGTCCTCCTTGTAGTTAAGTGGCACCTGACTGTGTCGCAGAGTGTGCTTTGATAATGATGGTGTTGAGATCCAGCGTCTTCTGAAGTTCTTGCGGGGAGGGGAGGGGTGGGTGGGTGTGAGCTCCAGTGGTGGTCCCTCTCTTGAAGTGGCTCTGTTGGAGTGTGCCTCCTGCTAGAGGCGGTGCTGGGCCCAAGGGACTCTCTCAGAGGCTCAGTGAGTCCTATGGCTTCGGAGGCCCCTCCCAGGCAGGAGGGAGCTAGCACTGCGCTGCTCACGCCCTGCTGCCTCCCTTCCTGCTAGACCTGGCCTACGGCTCTGTGATCACCGTGAAGAACCTGAAGATGGCTATCGGCTACCTGCACTCCCACCCACACCTCTACCCCGAGGGTGTCGGCGCTCGCCAGCAGCAGGTTGGTGAGCCTGTTTGGCTCTAGACTGTTTGCCGTGACTGAAGCCACCATTCACTGTCCTGTTTCCTGTCCTTGGCTCCCGCTGCTTCCCCTGCTTGAACACTCTTTCCATTCCTGCACTGTGTTCTTTCCTCTGGCTAACCCCAGCTTCTTTATGCTTCAGCTTGGGTGTTCTCTGAGCACTGTGACCCACCCCTTCCTGGTGCTGGGTCAGGTGGCCCTCTTACGAGAGGCTTTCTCGGTACTGTCTGGATGCTTCTGTTGTAACCCTTTGCATAGTGAACTCTGAGACTTCCTTCCTCTAGTCTCCTAGCTACTTGATCACCACTTCCTAGAAGGCTGGTGTGCCCAGGAAAGTGCCTGGCACGGAGTTGGTGAAGAGTGAAATATTGTAGTGGTGAACACAGATCCGGGAACCCAAATCAGGGTTTGAATCTTGGTTCTGTAGGGAATATACCTGGACCAGTTTCTTTTTTTCTTTTTTTTAAATATTTATTTATTTATTTGAAAGAGTTAGAGAGAGGAGAGGTAGAGAGAGAGAGAGAGGTCTTCCATCTGATGATTCACTCCCCAGTTGGCCGCAACGGCTGGAGCTATGCTGATCCGAAGCCAGGAGCCAGGAGCTTCTTCCAGGTCTCCCATGCAGGTGCAGGGGCCCAAGGACTTGGGCCATCTTCCACTACTTTCTCAGGCCATAGCAGAGAGCTGGATTGGAAGAGGAGCAGCTGGGTCTTGAACCGGTGTCCACATGGGATGCTGGCACCTCAGGCCAGGGTATTAACCTGCTGTGCTTCAGCTCCGGCCCCATGGACCAGTTCCTTAACCTTTCCCTGCTTTAGTATCTTCATTTTTTTTTTTTTTTCCGACAGGCAGAGTGGACAGTGAGAGAGAGAGAGAGAGGCAGAGAGAAAGGTCTTCCTTTTGCCATTGGTTCACCCTCCAATGGCCGCCATGGCCGGCGCGCTACAGCCGGCGCATCGCACTGATCCGAAGCCAGGAGCCAGGTGCTTCTCCTGGTCTCCCATGCGGGTGCAGGGCCCAAGGACTTGGGCCATCCTCCACTGCACTCCCGGGCGATAGCAAAGAGCTGGCCTGGAAGAGGGGCAACCGGGACAGAATCCGGCCCCCCAGCCGGGACTAGAACTCAGTGTGCCGGCACCACAAGGCAGAGGATTAGCCTATTGAGCCATGGGGCCGGCCTAGTATCTTCATCTTTTAATTGGGGGAAGCTAACCAGTACTTCTGTCCATTCTAGGGTTGTCATGAGGATTAAAGGAGAAAAATATATGTGAAGTGCACCTATGAGGCTTAGCTGCAAGTATCATTGAGTTCGTGAACACTCAGTGATGGACGCCTTGTCCAAGTTAGCGAGTGGTAGTCGGGGCTGTAGGGGGTGGGGCCTGAGAGGGAGAAGCAGGATTTTGGAGAGGTTAGTAGGGCCAGCTGCGGGAGAGGCCTTCCATATCACAGTAGATTTGACTTTGATCCACACACACTGGGGAGACAATGAAAGTTATTAAATGGTGACAAGATGTGATTAGAAATCTAGTTTAGAAAGACACTACAGGGGCCGGCACTGTGGTGTAGCAGGTAAAGCCGCTACCTACTGTGTCAGCATCCCATGTGGGAGCTGGTTCAAGTCCTGGCTGCCCCACTTGCGATCCTGCACTCTGCTATGGCATGGGAAAAAACAGTGGAAGATGGCCCAAGTTCTTGGGTCTTTGCACCCATGTGGGAGACCCAGAAGAAGCTCCAGGCTCCTGGCTTCGGATCGACCCAGCTCTGGCCATTGCAGCCATTTGGGGAGTAGACCAGCGGATGGAAGACTTCTCTCTTTCTCTCTCTCTCTGCCTCTCTGTAACCCTCTGCCTTTCAAATAAATAAATAAATCTTAAAAAAAAAAAAGAAAGAAAGAAAGACAACTCCAATGAGAATGTGATAGGTTGCCAGGGACAGGTTAGGAGGTAGTAACTATGAATAAGGATGATAAACAGGCCAAGACCACAGGGATGGAGGTGGGAATTGCTTTAAGAGACACTTCTTCCCGGGTGTCGTGTAGGGCCTGGTGCCTGATGCATTTCAGGATATGCAGACTGTTTTTTGAGAAGCTTAAAAGTGAAGTTTCTCTTCTTACAAAGTGACCAATCTTCATTTTGCCAAAAATTTTGCTTCTCACAACACTTATTTCCTTTTTCGCTACTAAAGTATTGACCTGAGGTATTTTTTTTTAAACAGGCAGAGTTAGACAATGAGAGAGAGAGAGACAGAGAAGAAAGTCTTCCTTCTGTTGGTTCACCCCCCAAATGGCCGCTACAGCTGGCGCACTGTGGCCAGCGCGCTGCACCGATCCAAAGCAGGAGCCAGGTGCTTCCTCCTGGTCTCCCATGCAGGTGCAGGGCCCAAGCACTTGGGCCATCCCCCACTGTCTTCCTGGGCCACAGCAGAGCTGGACTGGAAAAGGAGCAACCAGGACAGAATCCGACGCTCATACTGGGACTAGAACCCAGGGTGCCGGTGCCACAGGCAGAGAATTAGCCTGGTGAGCCGCAGCGCCGGCTTGAGGTATTGGGTTTTAATATTGGTTTTTCATGCTGGAGTCTCTCTCTCTCTTTTAGCTCTGGTGCAGTGGTTCTCAGACCTGGTCATACTGTAAAATCATCTGGAGGGCTTTTCCAGAGTCCCGGCGCCTCAGCTGCACAGCAGGGATTTGAATTCAGTTGACCTAGGCTGGGACCAGGCACTCTGCACTTTTGTTTTGATTTAAAGCTCTCCGAGTGGTTGTCCTGTGCAGCCAGGACAGAAGCCACAGCTAGCTGTTCCATGGTGAGCCCTTGCTGCAGGTGTCACGTGGAAGATTTTCAAGGTACAGATTTGGTGGCCAGGAGCTTCTGCACTGTGCAAAGGGGAGAAGGGGAACCTTCTGAAGGGCCCTGGTGTTAAGCTGGGGTTACGCACTTAGAGTCCGGATGTGGAGGTGTGACTCCACAGTGCTGGTGTGTGAAGTGCATTGGGCCACGATAGAAGCGTCTGTCTTTGTCGTTACTGAATCACTTAGCCTTTCTCCACCTGGATCCTCATCTCTAGAGAGGGGGTTGTGCTAAATAACCTCTTGTGGCCTTCCCTGCCCCACAGTTCAATGTCTTGATTGTAAACTGTTTTTAAGGCATAACATTTATAAGACACAATTGGAAAACATGGAAGAGTATAAAAAAGGAAACAAAATTTATACATAATCCCAGAAGGTAAGTATTTATATTTTGATGTATGACATTCTGCTATAATTGGATACCCATGTCCCTGGAAAACCTCATGTTATAAAAAAGCTCCACTGTGAAAATTAACATTTCTGAGAAAAAGGGACCACAGACTAAACTCAAGAAGAAAGAAATCATTCCTCTTATAGGTATTTCAATAATAATGTCTTTTGTAAAAGCAGACAAACAAGACACTTTCTCCCCATGCGCAGGCACAGAGCACAAGCACAGGCACCACCCAGCTGTGCCAGCCTTGCACAAATCCACCCAGCCGTGCCAGCCTTGCACAAATCCACCCAGCTGCGCCAGCCTTGCACAAATCCACCCAGCTGTGCCAGCCTTGCACAAATCCAGGTCGCGAAGACGCCATCTGGCTTTTTTTCAGGAATGCAGATTTCATTTTCTTTTCCTATGACCATAGAAACTTTTTCAGCTTCTTGTTATTCTTGATACCATTATCAGAAATTTTTTTTTCCTGAGAAACAAAGCAAAAGCTGCTCAAAGCAGCCATAATTGTCATACATGCAAAATGATTTTTCTTCTACATGCTATTTCCAAATCCTCTTGCAAGTAAATTAGCCATGCTCTATCCCTTTGAGGTTAAAATATAAATTCATGTTGTAAGATAAATGCTTATTTTCCCGCTGTTTCTTTCTTGTTGTTTACATAATTGGCACAATTATATATGTGAGGGACTTTTGAAGAATTCATGAAAAACACTTGCTATCTTTTAACTCCATTTTTCATGAGTTTTTTGAAGTACCTTCTGTGTAGTCTCTGGAACGTTGACTACTGGGAACGTTGGAATAAGCTACCCTGGTTTGAATCCTGTCTCGGCAACTTCAAACTGGGTAACATTGACCAGACTACTTCACTTCCATTTCCTAGTGTGCAGAGTGGGAGTAACCGTAGCCCCTGCAGCTGAAAGTGGAATTGTAGTTGAGGCAAGGCTTGCCCAGTGCTTAGGGAGTGCCTGGTGATGACGGTGGCGTTGCCAGCGTCTGCATCCCATGCTGCCACAAAACTCTGAGATGCTTTCTGTGGCTGAGGGATATTCTGTACCGGGGCCAGGCTGTCATAACTGTTTCCCTCTTAAGAGACACACGTGACGTTCATGATTTTTGCAGTTAGATTAATTGAAGCACACATGCACGGAAAGCTTTCAAATCAGTGTATACAAAATGTCAGTTAGACCCTGGGACGAGATACTTATGGAACTTCGTAGTTTCATGTGGCCCTGCAACGGGAAATACAATAACATGACTTCTTCATTTAGAAAGTTTGAGACACGGTCTTAATTACTTTTTAGGATGACACTAAATCCTCTTCTGGTGCTAGAGACTATTACACAGCGGCTTATGGTTCTTCCCTCTGGAGGGCTGGGACTTTAAGGACAAGGTGCAGAAAGATACAAAGAGACAGATCAAAAAGGCTTGCAGAGCGAAGCATCTGAGTGCAGAAGGAAAGAGTCTCACTGCTCTGTGCTCCTCTTGAGCCCGCCTCGGGCAACACTGCTCCTCGCTCCTCGGGCTGGAGCCTGGGGATCCCGAAAGAGGCTGAAGCACTGTTGGTTTGCTGTGGATTGTCCTTGGCCAGCTGTGCCGCTAGTGACTGTGTTCTCCCTACCCCTGACCCAGGTCACCACCTATTTGCACAAGGACTACAACAACCTGTGGATCATCAAGAAGCATAACACAGACTCAGGTAATGTGGTCAGGGACTGACGCCCCTCGTGCTGTTTCTCCTGCCTCCAAAAGAGTGACCCTGAGTGGGCTTTCCTGGCCATCTTCCACAACATCTCTACTGATCTCGCTTCTCCCTTCAAGAATTATTTATTTGACAGGCAGAGTGGTCAGTGAGAGAGAGAGACAGACAGAAAGGTCTTCCTTTTCCGTTGGTTCACCCCCCAATGGCCGCTGCGGCTGGCGCACCGCGCTGATCCAAAGCCAGGAGCCAGGTGCTTCTCCTGGTCTCCCATGGGGTGCAGGGCCCAAGGACTTGGGCCATCCTCCACTGCACTCCCGGGCCACAGCAGTGAGCTGGACTGGAAGAGGGGCAACCGGGACAGAATCCGGCGCCCTGACCGGGACTAGAACCCAGGGTGCCAGCACTGCAGGCGGAGGATTAGCCTATTGAGCTGCGGCGCTGGCCAAGAATTATTTCTTGAGCATCTGCTGTGTTCCCGGAGTACTGTGAGCATAAGGAATAAGCAGTGAGCAAAAACAGATACAATATAACTTTTATATCTGTCCTTTTGAAGCCAGAGAGCAGGGCATGGCTCAGACCGAATCCAGGTCACCTGGCATGCCAGCAGTAGGCACAACTAAGGTCACTTGTAATGTGGAGGACACCACGCCTTGCAGATGCCAGCATGTGGCCCTGATGACGGAGTGGGCTACTCCTTGCTCAGCCCTGAACACTTCAGTCAGCTGGAGATCTGAGGGCTGTGACTGGAACGTCACTCGATGTGGATCTGCAGCTGGTCTGCCTCCATCTGGTCTGGGCAGAGGAGCGCTGAAGCGCACTGTCAGTCTCTCTGGCACTAGGGCAAGAGCTACAGCCAGGTCTCAGCCAGGGCTTCCTCTTTGCTCAGAGCTACGTGCGGGCTGTGCCTCCTGCTGCAGCTAGAGGGCAGAGGGCGCCTTCTCTCACCTCTGAGCCCAGCATCACCACTCCTGTCCTGTGCCACAGGCCTTCCCTGTGACTCCTCAGCAAACATCTCTGCCGTGGCCTGTCCAGGGTCTTCTCCTGAGCCTTTATGGAGAAGTAGAGAGCTGCTGTTCTGAATCCACCTCCCTCGTTCCTCCCCTCACCTCCTTACTGCCACTTTTGGGCTATGAACATGACATACACAGCTGTTGTCTGCGTCCTGTTCGTCAGTAATACAACCTTTTACACCATTGGGCAGGATCTGTCTTACTGCCCTTGTGACATCAGTAACAGGCCAGTGGAAGTTGTCCATCACAGTGAGGAGTTAGGGAAGACTAGTTTTCCTTCTAAGTGACCGTGAGCAAGTCTTTGAACATCGCTGGCTGTTTTCTGTTCTAAGTTAAGATGGCTGCATTTCACCCAAGTGACTAAGGATTTTGTTGGAACTTTATAGGCTAAGGTGTTTGTGTTCTTCATGGCCCCTGCCCACCAAATCCACATAAACTAAAATGTCCTCCCATTGACTTACTTTAGTTGGCATCCTGCTCATTAATCTTGAAAGAGACCTAAAAAGGCAGCATGGTGACGGGTATGTGTGCAGCTGAGGTATCCAGTTCTTTGGAGAGCCAGTGATTTGCACTGGCAGATTTGTCCTTGACCTTGATCTGTTTGTAGAGTAGGGGTGCCTCGCTGTTTGGCGCAGACATTTGCAAGGATGTGTTCTGGGTTGTTTTGGTGACTGCCAGCCCCTTTTCCATCCCCTCACCTTCCAGAGGATGCACTGGTTTCTTTCTTCCATCATTTCCTGACAAGTTGTCATCAGAGAAAAGATAATCACTAGAAAAGGTTGCAGGATTTAGCATTTGATTTTGAAGAGAGCTGAGCAGAGTCATTTGCATGAATTAATTTTTGGAAGCCTCTACTATTACTACTAACAAGGAAATCTTACTCTTTAACTTCCCCACTTAAGGTCCAGTGGGGGCTTCGGTGCCTGTCAAACAAAGGCCACATTTGCCAGCCGGGCGTGCACTGACGCCTGCTCACCCCTCCTCTTCTGTTCTCGCTCCCCTTCTGCCGATCCACCCTGACCGGATGAAACCCATTTCCATTGGTCACATGAGTTTTGTTCTTTCCTATCTCACTGCCTGGTCCCTGTTGTTCACCTGACAAGATGCTCCTCTTTTTCAAGCATTATCTCTGGGAAGCCCTCGTCATGTCCTCTGAGGTGATCAGCCTCCCTCCGTGGCCCCGCAGCACCAAGCCTGGGTAGTACCCATAGCACAGAACCCTGCCGACTGACCCTGCTTACCAGCGGCCCTCACTTGATGCTGGCCTTGTGAGCACGTGATTCTGGATACCAGTGCTGCTTTCTCTTGGCAGATCCCCTCGACCCTTCGTCCCCAGTGGAGTTTGTGAGACATGGAGACATCATTCGGCTAGAACACAAACAGTACGTTGCCTTCCTGTTTGGGTAAAGGAGTGTTATGGACACTAAAAGCAGGGAGTTCTTTTAAGAAGTAAACAGAAACCAAGTTTGGATGAGGAGCTAGTAAAAGGAATAAAGCTTCTGCATGGAATGAGGGAACCCTGGCATGAGGAGGGTGAAACAAGCAGGCCAGCCTTTGCCTGTTTATTTCGGCTTTATGGAGCTCTGAACTTTGAAAATACTTTTCAGTTTCTTTTTCTTTTAGAGCAAAAAAGTATGAGTAAATAAATACATTAAAAATATTTATTGATTTATTTTGAAAGGCAGAGTGACAGAGAGAGAGAGAGAGAGAAATCTTCCAGCCACTGGTTCACTTCCCAAATGACCACAACAGCCAGGACTGAGTCAGGCTAAAGCCAGGAGCCAGGAACTCCATCAGGGTCTCCCACGTCAGTGACGGGGGCCCAAGTACTTGAGCCATCATCTGCTTACTTCTTAGGCACCTCAGCAGGGAGCTGGATCATAGCAGAGCAGCTAGGACTTGAGTTGGTGCTCTGATATGGGATGCAGGCCTCTCAACTGGTGGCTTAACCCACTGTGCCTCGTACCCACCCCGCCCAAAGCTTAGTAAGTGACTGCCTTTAGAAAGATGTCAGAGTTAGTTTGTATGGCAAATTGGTTTATTTAATTAATGTTCTCCCAGGTAATGCCAAGATTACATAAAAACTGTCTTCTTAAAAGTGTAAAAAAGCTGACATGGCCATTTGGGGGGTGAATAAATGGAAGGAAGACCTTTCTGTCTGTCTCTCTCTCACTGTCTAACTCTATCTGTCGAGAAAGAATAAGAGGTAGACATAGACCTGTCTGAAATCCTGTGATTTTTCAGCAGCAGTGAGTGGTAGGTAGTAGGAAACAGCACAGCACATGAGGAAACAGGGCAGTGTATGAATCAAACAGTAGACAGGTGAGGCAGCCCCTCAGAAATTTTGTGCACTGGAATTACCAGATACAAATTTAGAAAATAAAGTTAGGGTGTGTGTACACCATTAGCAATGGTTTTTCTCTAATCAGTTGGAGATAGGTTACTTAAAAGTTCTATTCTATTACTATTAAATAAATTTCATTTTAGTATTAATTTTAGTATTAATTTCATTTTAGTATTAATTAAAGTTGAAAGTAAATTTCATCTTTACAAATTTCTAAATATTTTATATCACTTATTGTGGATGAAATCAAGAATTGTTATAAAAAGCTAAATAAATAAAAACATAATTAGGCCGGCGCCGCGGCTCACTAGGCTAATCCTCCGCCTTGCGGCGCTGGGACACCGGGTTCTAGTCCCGGTCGGGGCGCCAGATTCTGTCCCGGTTGCCCCTCTTCCAGGCCAGCTCTCTGCTGTGGCCCGGGAGTGCAGTGGAGGATGGCCCGAGTACTTGGGCCCTGCACCCCATGGGAGACCAGGATAAGTACCTGGCTCCTGCCATCGGATCAGCGCGGTGTGCTGGCTGCAGCGCGCCAGCCGTGGCGGCCATTGGAGGGTGAACCAACGGCAAAAGGAAGACCTTTCTCTCTGTCTCTCTCTCTCACTGTCCACTCTGCCTGTAAAAAAAAAAAAAAAAAACTGATGATGGAAGTAGAAAGACTTGAAATGGGGTGGGTTACATATTTTGGGCACACGTAGATCTCAAGTTTTAATTTTCTTTTCCCTATTCCTCCCTCAAGTCAGCCAAGCTCAGAGCCTCCATCCCAGCGCCTGAGGCTGTTCCCCTTCACGGCCCCCTGCCTTGGGCTCTTCTCTCTCCTCCAATTCTCTGATCTTTCTTTCCTGCTTTGTTGGCTGGTAATGGTTCAGATTCTCAGAGCTCTTGTCCTAACGTGACTCTGAATGTCCTTGGTAAAAAGAAGAAACACTGTACATTTCTCAAGGGTAAAAGCATTTCTCTCTTCTTACTTTTAGGACTTCTCGCAACTTGCACAGCCACTATCATGAGGCCCCCCTGACCCGGAAGCACTATCAGGTCACTGGCTATGGAATAGTAAGTGAGCAGCTTGAGCACGAGGTAAAAAAAAGTTGGGGGTTTAGGTTCAGGGCCATGTGGCAGAACACATTCTCCCCCAACGCTGGTGTGTTCTGAGGATTAGAGGCCACACAGGGACACTTTTCACATTGGGGAGTTTTTGGCTAAGCTTGCTGTGGGAAAAGCACATTGTGAAGTCTGTCTCCATCCCTCTCCTTGCATAATAGCCTTGCCATTTACATGTCCTGCTGCTTAGTAAATGTCAAATGTGAGTGCTATTTATATCTCTTTCCAACTCAGGTTGGAGAGAACCCAACAACTCACGATATGGCCCTAGATGACTATGGAAGTTCATCTCTTGCCAGGTTCCAAATCTCATTGGCTTTCTTTTTAAGGATTACTTTCCTGTTTTGCAGAGGGATGTAATCCACGTAGCTTTTTTTTATTTTACTATCTCAGGATGCCATTAATAGAGTAAAAGCTCATGTGTTCTTACTAGTATGGCTCAGGGAGTAGTTGAAGACAAAACATTTTAGGGAATGTCTTAGCCAGCAGTTGCATTTCCTTCTGAGACCTTTGTGCTTTACTAAAGGTTCTGGGCCCCTCAGGTGGGCTCCCCAGTCCTGTTTCTAGTTGCTCATCCCGTATTGTCCTAGGCCGACACTCTGAACGGTCTCACTTTCCCTGGGGGGCATCTCCTGGGGAGAATTAGACACAACTGCCTTGATTTCCAATATGCAGTGGGCCTTTCTGGCTTAGAGGAGTGAGAATCCAGTTGGCTAAGGTAGTGGACACAAATGGCCAGGATCTATTTCTGTTGACTCAGGGAGATGTCTGGAGTTTGTTTTAAGGGCGGCCCCATCTGTTTAGAACTTAGACTCTAGTCCTGTGAACTGAGATATTGGACTTCTGGTCCCAAGAGTTATGTTCCTGCTTTGGGTCCTGAGTCACCTGGAATATTTCTGTGGCCTGTTCCCTTTCCCCTCAGTCCTTGAGGCTGATTTGGTCTTTGACTTTTAAAATGTGGGGGCATCTGAGACAGTGGCCATTTCTCTTTCTAATACCCTTTCTCTAAGGTCATTTCACTTTGTGGTTTTTTTCTTGGTTTATGTGACAGAATGGGACAGGGGATTCGAATGACTTTTGGCGGATAGAGGTTGTAAACAGAAAATTTGGAAACCGAATCAAAGTGCTGAGAAGTCGATTTCGCCTCATCCATCTGGTCACAGGCTGTGTCCTGGGCTCGTCAGGAAAGGTTCTGCCCAAGTGGTGAGTCTCTGGAGCTTTGATGACCCAGTGGAGGCCTGTACTTTCCTTTTACACAACAGGGAATATCCCAGAAGCTCCAGTTTCCTAGTGGTCAGTGGTTGCCTCATGCGCTCTTCTTAGTGGTAGAAGAGGGGAGAAAAGGTGCCGGGCTCATCATGGAGCACAGTGCTCCAGTGTAGCTGGAGCTCTATGTGTCTGGCAGTTGAACATCTGTGTGTCTGGCTTACAGTCATAACTCTCTGGGTCTGTATTTCTAAAAGGGAACTGTTAGATGCTAGACTACTCCTAGGATAGCTGAGGAATACAAAAGTGCAAGTTGAGGGGCTAGCACTGTGGCACAATGGGTTAACGCCCTGGCCTAAAGTGTGGGCATCCCATATGGGCGCCAGTTCTAGCCCCGGCTGCTCCACTTCTGATCCAGCTCTCTGCTATGGCCTGGGAAAGCACTGAAAGATGGCCCAAGTCTTTGGGCCCCTGCACCCGCGTGGGAGACCTGGAAGAAGCTCCTGGCTCCTGGCTTCAGATTGGCGCAGCTCCAGCCGTTGCAGCCAATTGGGAGTAAACCAGCGGATGGAAGAACTCACACTCTCTCTCTCTCTCTCTCTTTTCTCTCTCTCTCTGCCTCTCCTCTGTCTGTGTAACTCTTTCAAATAAATAAATAAATCTTTAAAAATAAATAAATAAAAGTGCGAGTTGAAAAAGTGACAGCTACCAGGTTGAACAGAGAGGGGTCCCATGGGTCTGAGAGCAGTAGGCAGTGGGTTCCAGAGCTCCTGAGAGACATCTGTGACAACTCTCCACAGGGGCTGGGAGCAGCTGGAAGTTACTTGCACCCCTTACCTAAAAGAAACCCTCAACTCCATCTGGAATGTGGAGGACCATATCAATCCCAAACGTGAGTGAGGACACTTCCCGGGCTGGCTCTGAGGGGAAGCAGTTGTAAGAAGCCTTCACTTCATCTGATTGTTCCATCATCTTCTTCTTTCACACCTGGTCTCTGCACCAGTTGTCTATACCTCCATGGCTTCCCCTTTTTCTTCTCACCCACTCCATCGTTAAACTCTTCTCCCTAAAGTGAGCACTGACCATCAGCAGGTCCATCTCGTCTCCCTCTGGGCTCGTCTGTCCCCTGCACTGTGGATGTCTCCTGCTCTCAAGGCTTAGAGCAGGCTGGCACTTTGCCTTTATGGCCTCTCACCCTGCATCAAGCCGGCACCATTTCAGAAAGCCCTGGCCACAGCCCCGAGCTGAGCACACGTCTTGGCTCACAGGCTCTGCTTGACATGTGCACTTAACATCAACTCCGTACAGCACGGGATTAGTCCTCTGTTTTCCTGAACTGCCCCCTTCAAATTCATGCCTGATTGCCCTTTCCCTCCGTGCTTTCTGTCTCATTCTTACTACCTAATCTAACCCAAACTACTAATTAACTCATTGAACACCCCTTTCTGGGTGTGCCACAAACCAGGAGGAGCCCTGTGGATGCCCTCATGGTTAGGTAGACTCGGTCCCTTCCTCATAGACCTTTTGCCTAACAGGAGGGCAGCATTTGAGCCCAGAGGTCAAGAACTGCTGGGACCCCAGGAGGAGGGGCTTGCTGTCTCTTTCCTTTGTATCTCTCAGAGTACCTGGTGCGTACTTAATGCCCACTGAACAGATAGCCCTCGACACTCCCAGCTGGTCTTTAGGCCGTCAGGAAGTCTGCACCTGGGCTCTGGTGGCTGTGGGGGTTCATGGACAGACACACTGCGTGGGAAAATGAATGACAGAGGCTTTCTCCTGTCTGTTTTTTCCAGTGCCAAACATCAGCCTGGAGGTGCTTCAGCCCAGTTTTCCTGAGATCTTGCTGGAGTCCCACATGGTCATGATCCGGGTACTGTGGCCCCTTCTTCCATGGCTTTCTAAGACGTCTGGCAGGTGCAAGTTTGCTATAGATCCACTGCCCCCTTGTGGGGGACTCTGAAAGCATCATCACTTGCTGGTTTACTTCCCTATCCCAGAATAAGAATGATCGTGATGATGATGGTGACACAAACACTGAGTTTATATTAAGTCCTTTCATGTTTACTGTAGTCCTGTGGAGGTTATTGTCATCCCCAGTTACAGATGAGGGCAGTGAAGCACGGGGAGGTTGAGGATCTTGTCCAGGGCCATGCAGCTGAGTTTAAGAGGTGGACCCAAGCTCTGGCAGGGGCCATCAGGCTTTCAGTCACTGCCGGTTGCAGCCGCACTCCCCTGCCTCCAGGTGATTTTTCAGATCTGTTCAAGTGACAGAGTTCATGAAAATCTCAGTTCCTGGTTGAGATCCCGAGATACTCATAGTTTGTTCTGTCATGTGAGATTGGGGTCAGTTAGGATGAACAGCCGGCCTGAGTGTGTGGTTTGGATGTAGCATGAAATCCTGTCCATAGCCAGCCCACTCGTATTTCTGGACAGAAACTATTTAAGGAGCATGGTTGATTTCTTTTTTAAGGTTTTCTAAGACTCATTATTTTCACTCTGTTTTTAGCTGATAGAATTGTGCATCAAAGCTTTAAGGAAAATTGAGAGATGAATCTTAAAGTTGAGACAATTCTATCACTAGCCTAAATTTCCCCCTGTGAACTGGGGGACACCCGCTGTTCAGTGAGAGACCCCCTTCCTCGGACTTATGGGAAACCTGTTCTACAAGTTGAAGAAGAGCTGTGTCTCAAGCCAGATGGTGGTTATCAGTCAACCCACAGGGCTGCGGGGCCGAGTAGCAGTTGCGGTTCCTCCCCTGGTGAGCCGTTGTCAAGTGGAGCTCCCTAGAGGTGCTTATGGAAGCTGTACTCAGTAAATGCAGCTGACTTACTTCACACATTAAACTTTAAATTCAGATGTTGTCATTTTCCCCCCGGGAAGTGTGAGTTGACATGAAGCAGTCTCTGGGTCACTTCTTCTCTGACAGTCTGCTTGTAGCTGTCACTGCGGTCTGATGACAGAGCTCTTGGACTATGTGCCTGTCAGGCAGAACAGCATTCTGGGTGTGGGTAGAATTTCAAGACGAGGTCCAAAGAGTTTCATTTCTCCTTTCATTACCTAAGAGAAGTCTAGACTACTGAAACCCTAGGGAAACAGTAGGGTGCTGTTCTGCAGGCTAAGTGGATTCCTTCGATGTGCGTGGGGAAGGCTGGTTTGCCTGGTGCAGTTGGCTGGAACAAGCCTGCTCAGAGAGAAAGCCTGGAGAACCGACAGACTCACGCGCCTGTACTGGCTATGGTGTTCCCTTCCTTCCATCTTGCGTTAGTAGAAGAGCTGAACTCGGCAGCGTTTAAGGCAGTGGGTCGGAGGCCCTGGGCTTGTTGCAGGTCTGCTGGAGCGCTGAAGTGTCAGACCAAACTGAGCTGCTTTGAAGGAATCAGTTTCCCCTCCCTCTACTCCAGGGGTCCCGGGTCGTTCCGTAGTTCAAGGCCTTCAGGTGGCCGGAGTGCTGCCGGGGCTGTGCAGCTAGTCCTCGTGGGCCGGACACCGCTGTGCAGGAGTGTCCCAGCTGCCGTACGGAGGCCAGCACACTAATTCCAAACCCTCGGAGGAGGGGTTAGTAAGGTTCTGGGAGGCAGTTCATTGTCCTTGGCTTAGCAGATGGGTGTTTTGTGCCCAAAGAAACAAATCCCTTTCTCTGCAGCCGAGGTCTGAGTGGACCATATCTGGGGGCAAGAGGGGGCCTGCTTGTATGGCTGTGGGTGGGGCTGTAGGCCGTAGGGAGAGAAGGCGCACCTGGCTTCCCTGCGAGGCAGACTGCTGCTGGCACTGCGCACTGGGCAGGCTCTCAGGGATGCTCGCGCTTCGCTTTCTGTCCTCTCTAGCTCTCTGTCCTGACCAGCCTGTCTTTGCACCTCCCTGCAGGGCAACAATGGCCTCAAACCCAAGGACAATGAGTTCACGTCTAAACCCTGGCACTGGCCTATCAACTATCAGGTAGGGCCCAAGGCTGGACTCCTCCCTGGAAATGGAGCTAAAAGAGACCGTTGAGACTGGGCAGGGCGGGCTGGCGTGCTGGGGTGGCGGGCGGCCATCTGGGAGGTTACCCAGAGACTGGGCTCTGCTCTCTGCCCTGATTCTGACCCTGCCTTCCCACAGAGCTCGTGCAGAATTTGCATACTCTGAGCCACCTGTGAAAGGCGACCGGTCTCCCTCCGCTAGAAGGGGGTGGCTGGGATGAGCTGGGCCCTGGGTCAGCAGGGTGTCCTCTCCACAGGGCCTGCGCTTCTCAGGGGCCAATGACACGGACTTCCGCGTCTATCTGCTTGGCAACCCGGTGAGTGCCCACCAGCCCCAGCCCAGGCCCGCAAGCACTTGCCCGTGGGAAGCCGCGGGAGCTGCTGCTTTCCGTGCTCCTCCAGTTCCCGTCTCTCCGCAGGTGGTTTGGTGGCTGAATCTGCTGAGCATTGCTGTCTACCTCCTCTCGGGGAGCATCATTGCTGTAGCCATGCAGAGAGGGGTGCAGCTGCCAGCGGAGGTCGAAGGTCAGGTCCCTGGGCTCTCCCTACTTCGACCCAGCAGTTGGCAGCGGGGACCTGTGCCCCTGGGGCATGCTGGCTCCTGACGGGGCATCCCTTGCCTTCCACATCCTGTGTTTTTCCTTCTTTTTTGTACTTTCCACCCTCCCAGCAACCCCGTGGAGTGGAGTGTTAGGCCCCGCTTTCTGTGGATTTCTGTGGATTAGGCACAGTGAGATTGAAATGTGTCCCAGCACACAGCAGTGGTCAGTGGAAGAGCTGAGGTTCAAGCCGAGCAGTCTGACTTCACTTTGAACCTGTGCACCATGTCTGGAGCAGCCCATCTTTCTTCTGCTCCTCCTCGTTCCACGGCCCTGTCCTCTAGTGTGTAGACAGAGCCGCTGGGCCAAGGGAGGAGCAACCCATTGCTGTTCCTGGTGACTTTAGCTGCTGGACCATGGACCACAGTATCTGAGATGCCCACACAGGCCTCTGACCCCTGCAGCCCCTGTCTGAACAGTTACTGCCCCAGATACACGTCCCTCCGTTCTGTCTGGTCTGTCTGTGTCTCTGACCGCTGCTGCAAGCTGTGTGCAGTGGTAAAGATAGAGAGGTAGAGAGGGAGGGGGAAGCCATCTCCAGGGGCGAGGGTTATGGCTTTATTAGAGGCGAGCCCTTTTCCCAGACACCAGCTGTGGCCTCGTGCTGGTGTGTGGTGCCCTTGTCATTGGTGCCAAGAACCTCTCATGCTGGGTGTTGACCAGGGCTTTTGAGACCCAGTTCTTTCCTCTGGTTGCCATAGAGTCATTTGGGTTGGTCTGCATGAGAGAAGGAATGGAGAGGTAAGGGTAGTGACTTGGTCACAGCGCAAGGAAGGGACAGAGCTGGGCTGGAACTCCGGATCTCTGCCCTCTCCCTGCCTCTGACCGGGGCTGTGCTGTTTGGGCCCAGGGCTGTCCCAGGTCCTGCTGCGAGGAGGTGGCCAGGTCCTGCTCGGCTGGATGCTGCACTACTTCCCGTTCTTCCTGATGGGCCGCGTCCTGTACTTCCACCACTACTTCCCAGCCATGCTCTTCTCCAGCATGTTGACAGGTCAGCGCCACCCACTTGGCCTTGGGAGACAGAGCAGGGGCGGGGACAGGGAGCAGCAGAGCTGAGGGCAGTCTCTGCTCCCTGACTTCTGTGCTCCAGAAGTGCGTCCTCACGGGCTGCTGTGGGTTTCCCTCCCCACCAGGCATCCTGTGGGACACCCTCCTGCGGCTCTGTGCCTGGCGCTTGGCCAAGGGCATCCATGTGGTGGGAATCCTGAGCCTGCTCCTGGGAACTGCCTACAGGTATGCATGTCCCCTGCGTGGGCTCAGTGACGCTCAGCCTGGTGCGTTCTGCCTTCCCCAGCCGCCTGGCCCCCACCCCGAGGGCTCTGGTTCAGGTGACAGCCCCCAGGTGACCCTAATGTGCAGCAAGGAGCAGCAGCAGGAAGCGAACTGTGCGTTCTCTGCTCTGCCAGTAGTTTCCAGCTTTTGGGCCAGCCCTCTTTCATCCCACTGGCTCCTTGCCAGAACTGCTGTCCGTGAGGGGCGGGAGAGGATGGGAAGACTAGGAATGGGGTGGTCTGGGGGCCGCTGGGAGGGGACAGTTGTTTGGAGAGCCCGCCTGCTTCGCCCTCTCTGCAAGCCCTGTGGGTGTCCTGCTGAGCCGCACTGGCGTCCTGGCGAGCACATGCCTGTCCAGGGGCCTTAAATCACATTTTGACAAACACTCGAGTCGAATGGCCCACACCATGGCCCAGACAGAGCCCTGTCATTGGCCTCTTACAAAGACCCCTTCCTTTATTGTCACGAAGTCCACCTCTGCTAAGCTCTCTCTGCCCGAAAGGCCAGCTCAGACAGTTGTGCTAAGAGAGAGTAGGTCTTGTGGGCAGGGAGTATCTGGTGAACTCCGGCAGGAGGCGCTGAATCCATAGGCATGGGTGCCAACGCCTCCCTCCGACTCCCTCGCAGCTTCTACCTCTTCCATCCTCTGGCTTATGGGATGGTTGGTCCTCTAGCCCAGGACCCCGAGAGTCCGATGGCAGGACTAAGGTGGCTGGAATCATGGGACTTTTGAGGCTACTGTAAAGACTCCAGCCTGGCGCCAGGAACTGCCCCGGGACAGCCAGCTGTGGAGCCAAACCCTGGACCCTTCTGACTGTGGATGAAGCCGCCTGAGGAGCTTGGAGAATTCTGCTTCCTGCCAGGACCTGCCAGGACCAAGCTCTGGGAGTCCAACGCTGGGAGCGCCACAATGCTGTGTGCAGCACCTGCGGGGGTGGCGTCTCAGCCCACTCCCCTGTGAGCAGGACGGGCAGGGGGCATGTGCACAGGGTGGGAGTGCCTGGGAGATGGTGCCCCGTGGAGTGGGCCTTGTAACTGGACAGTCAGTGGCATAAACTCTAGAAAGCCCAGGACTGCAGTGACATTTTCTTGTGTTCTTTCCACACTGGGTTTGCTTTGGTTTTGGTTTGTAAGACCCATCAAAACGTCTACCTCCACCAGGGCCCCAACAGCTGAGAGTGCCGGCCCCAAGGGCAGAGCAGATGGGACCATCACAGTGAACCCAGCTGAGGTGGGCAAGCGCTCCGAGCCCCCAGGGACTGCTGCTCAGGGGCCTGTCTGTGGTAGACCAGAGCACCAGGCTCTGGGGAGCAGGGTGGCCGGGAAGGCGGCAGCCTCGGGTCAGCCTTCCTTAGCCCTCTGGGGGTGTCACACCGTGAGATTGGCAGTAGGAGCCGTGTCCTGTGCTTGGCCACTCTGTAGCCCCAGGCCTGGGCATGCTAGAGGGGACTTCTCTCTGTCCCTCAGTTTCCCCCTGCTTCTGGCCTGGCCCTGAGGCTGGCCTTTGAGGATGCTTTTGTGACAGCTGAGCCAGCTGAGAGCGGTAGGCGCGTGGTGCAGGCTCCCTGAGGGCACCGGGGTGTGCACTGCCCCGGCCTGTCTGCCTGAACGCCACTGTCGCCTGCTGGGCCTTCCCAGTGCCGCTGCTCCAGCCCTCCCCGCGGACGTCTCCCGGCTCAGCCCTGGGGCATCTCCCCCTCCTCTGTCACAGTTTCACCTGCCTCTTTCTCCCCGAAGACCCCAAACACCGAGAACTGAAAAGCATGGCTGCTTCTCCTGCTTAGCGCTTTGAAGTTGAGGCCAGCTCAGCGCTCTGCTGCGCTTCCTTCCCAAAGGGATGAAGAACACCCTTGGGTTGGGGGGAGCGGAGCCCAGGCCAGCACCCCAGCCAGCCTCCCTTGGCGCCGGCTTCGTCTCCGAGGACTCAAAGCCCCGAGGTCTAATGATGAGTTTGCTGCTCTCCATCTTTCCCCTGTGCAGCTTCCAGCGACTCTTGACAGGGCCTGAGTGCTTTAAAGCGGCCGGGGAGGCGGTTGCCATGGAGACTGGAAATCAGTCCCAGGGACAGGTCGTGCTATCTACTGGGCTGTGGGGAGGGAAGCTTCTGGGCCATGCTCGGACATTCAGACAAGCTGTCATTAATGTTAATAGAGGAAACCGGCGATGTCAAAAGCAAGGCAGCTTGGTTAATTAGATCTGGGGCCAGATGACCTCCCTCTCCCACGGCTGCAGCCCTTTTGATTTCCCCCAGCAGGAAGCCGCCTGTGCCGAGCCTGGGCTGCTTGCTTAATTGCATCTCTGGCAAGGATGGAGAAGCTCTGCTCCCTCTTTTCCGCACCCCAGGCACAGCTGCTTGCTTCGACTGGGCGGGGGCCCCATCGGGGTGAGCTCTCCTGGAGGTGGAGCACAGGAGGCCGTGCTTGGCTCTCAGCAGAGAAGTTGGCCTCCCCGACCTCCAGAGGTGGCTGATGCTCCTTGGGGCTTCTTATTTCCCAGCAGGAAGTTACTGGAAGGAGCAGCTCTGTGGGGCAGGCTCAGCCGGCTTCCTGGTCACCCTCCCTCCCTCCCTTCCCAGTTTGGCCACCCTGGGAGCAGCAAGAGTCCTAGGTCCGATCTGCTGCTTTCCAGGGGTGGACGAAGGAGAATTCTCTGCCCTCTCCCTCCTCCTCCATGCTCTAACCAGCAGCCCGGTGCACACAGGGCTTGGAGCTTTGAGTGCCTGGCTTCTGTCCGGAGGAGGCTGCTGCTCCGGATGGGGCTCCAGCCCCGGGGATGAGCAGGAATGGTAGGTGTCCCACTCCCAGCCATGGTCAGCCCAGCCTCCAGCAGCTCCTTGAGCCACGTTTTATTAATAATAAAGAGAAAATGAAAGTTTCCAGAGATAAGTGAAGGCCATTGACTTTTGTAATAAATAGCTCTTGTTTTGAACGCCGTGGTGTTCTTGTTGTACTTAATTGGGTCTGACTTGCCCTCTGGCTCCCACGACAGCCTCTCTGAGAAGAGAAGAATGTTTGGAGTGCAGGAGCCATTCCACCGTGTCTGGGGCCTGAGCCGTCTAATTCTAGCAGCGGTTGCCACTGGACTCCAGCAGCCTGACCACTCCAGGGACATGTGGGCCTTCCCATGTACATGGCTGCTGGAGTAATTGTTGGTTGTTATTTCTGTTTCCTTAAACTTACTTTGCTCCAAAATAAGGAGGATGCTGAACCTGTCATTTTTTCTCTTTTAAGCTGCCCACACAGCATAGAAAGGAGGGAGACAGCGATGAGTGGCCTTGCACCGTAGCAGCTTGCCATCCTGCCTGACGGAGGCCCCTGTCTCGACAGGCTCCTCTCTCATCAGGAGTGATGTTAAGGGAAGCGGGGAGTTAGTACCGCCCGTGAAGCTGGGCGTCCTCTGGCCTGCCTCAGCACCCGTCTCAGGACCAAGAGTAGCTGGAGGCGGGGCAGGGGGCAGGGGGCAGGGCCCTGTGGATGTTCAGGAGGTAGAAAATGCCTAGGACAAGCAGGGCAAGAAAGAAGCAGATACCACCCGACTGGCACAGCTTAGTTCACGTCCTGACACATCTGTGACGCTGAATCCTCATAAGGCCCACTGAAGTCGGTGGTGCTGTTGTCTGCATTCCACCCCAGGAGATTAAATTATGTTCTGTGGTCCCACGATGAGTAAGTAACAGAACCAGGGCTCAGCGCCAAGTTGGACTTGTCTGCTTCTCCAGCCTGGTCCGCTGGGACTAGAAGCACCTCCCAGAAAGATCTGGCAGCCCTGGAGTCTCTGGGGAGGAGGTCCGATGCCCCCAGTCTGCACGTCCCTCTGTGCCTTCTGCCTAGTCCTGAGCACGTCCCAGGCTTTGTCTTTCCTGGTTCCCCCAGCCAGCCCACACCAGAGCACATGGGCGGGGGTTTAACACAGTTTTCTGGGATGACAAGAGCCCTGAGTGGCAGCACCTGCCATTCCCATGGTGCGAATGCTCCCACTGTGGCGCATTTCGAGCCCCCAGCTTGTCCTGAATGAGAAGCTGGAGACAGGTGCATACAGCTGACTCCCACAAGCCCCCTAAGAGCTGGCTCCAGCACGCCTCTGACACGCTGTGTCCCCGGTTTCATCTGGTCTATGGACACAGCTCTTGGCCATGGCCCATTAAAGTGTGGGAACCAGTGGAAAGAATGGACATCTGACCTGAGGTCAAGTCCTGGCCCCAGACTTAACTGTGAGACCTTGAGCTGATGACTTGACCTCCTTGGTCAACTGTAAAATGAGGATATGACAGCAGCACCTACTGCATCGAGTTACTATGAGAAACAGGAGCTGGTGATACGAAGGGGTTTGTACGGTGTCTGGATGGCGATGCTTAATAAATGCCAGCTCCTTACTGATGCTAGTGAAACACTGACCCCTGTGACAGCATGTGACTCTAAAACAGGACCGGTGCTCTCCCAGATTTTGACCTGCCCAAGTGCTAGCCGGACACCCCACAGGGTCACGAGCCCCTGTGACTTCCCCAGCCCCTCAGTGTGGCTTCACACCCTCAGGTTTCTGGTGGAATAGAGCACCCTGGCTGCTGAGGCCCTCCTCCGGCGGGGGCGGAGGCCAGAGTGCACTTAGCCAGCTCCTCCTGCCTTCTCCTGGCTCCAGGAAGCCTCAGAGGAAGCCATGGGTTTGAGTGTGCCAACTCCACTACCCACTAGCTAAGGATAATAACTCACCAGACCAAAGGAGAAAGGAGGCAAGAAGAGTTCTGGTGGAAATTTGTCAGGGAGATGCAAGCTGGGTGGGCTGGTGGGAGCCCTTAGACCAGCTGGGTGGCCTGCATAGAGCTCGGGATATCCAAACACTGAAAGATGCAGGTGGGGGCCGGCCTTGTGTGGCACAGGGGTTTGAGCCATAGCCTGCAGCGCTGCCATCCCATATCGGTGCTGGTTCAAGTCCCGGCTGCTCCACTTCCAGTCCAGCTCCCTGCAAATATGCCTGGGAAGGCAGCGGAGGTGATCCAAGGACCTGTGCTTCTGCCAGTCATGTGGGAGACCTGGATGGAGTTCCTGGCTCCTGACTTTGGCTTGGACCAGCCTTGACTGATGCAGCCATTCGGGGAGTAAGCCAGCAGATGGAAGATCTCTTTCTCCATATATCCCCTCATCTCTAACTCTGCCTTTCAAACAAATGAAATAAATTAAAAAAAAAAAAGAAGGAGGAGGAGGAGGTCACTGGAGGTACAAGTGGCCTTTCCCTGTGACCTACTACATCTGGCTGCAGGGTCCTGGGCCCCAGCGCTGGATGTGTGACTCCTCCTCCCTTCGGCTCTTCTCTCTGCGCTCCTGCTTGAGGACGTCTCTGACTTTTTAAGACACATTCTTTGCCTGGCTGCCTTCCAGCATGCTCAGACCAGAGACCCAGAGGTATGGGGGCAAACGGGGGAGAGTGGAGGAGCGTGTGCCGCAGACTCAGCCCTTGGGAGAGGGAGAGGAGCTGGGCAGTGTCCTGGGGCTTTGGCTGGGAGCAGACAAGAAGGAGTTCTGCTGGGCTTCGTCATGCTTCGCAGCTGGAAGGGGAAGTGTTAGAAGGCAGGAACTTGGGGCCGGCGCCACGGCTCACTAGGCTAATCCTCTGCCTGCGGCGCCAGCACCCGGGGTTCTAGTCCCGGTCAGGGCGCCGGATTCTGTCCCGGTTGCCCCTCTTCCAGGCCAGCTCTCTGCTGTGGCCCGGGAGTGCAGTGGAGGATGGCCCAAGTGCTTGGGCCCTGCACCCGCATGGGAGACCAGGAGAAGCACCTGGCTCCTGGCTTCGGATCAGCGTAGTGCCATTTTGGAGGTGAACCAACAGAAGGAAGACCTTTCTCTCTGTCTCTCTCTCACTAACTCTACCTGTCAAAAACAAAACAAAACAAAAAAAGAAGGCAGGAACCTGACACTGCACATGGGGCCAGGCCAGAATCCACAGCCTGTTCACAGCTGGTGGCTCCCTGTATCCTCAGGACCAACTGGGCCAACTGGGGAAGCTGAGGCCCAGAGAGAAGCGGACAGACCAAGGAGACAAGGAAATAAAACTCGAGATTCAGCCACAAGAAGGTAACGGTGCAGTGAGCTTGCTCTCCAAAACCCGGCCCACTGGAACTGGGCTGGGGCCCCAGGAACTTGTATGTTTGAACAAGAAATGTTTAGTTCCGATTGACAGCTGTATACCTTTAGTGGCAAGCCCGAAACTGTTACCTGAACTTCTAGGTTTTTTTTTTTTTTTTTTTAAGAAAAAGACGATTTTTAGTAAATCAAAGGATGATGGAATGTCAGCATTTAGCTCCTTCAGTGCCCGGGAGGTGCAAAGCTCACAGCCACTGCCCCCAGGATTCCATTCTGGCCAAGCAGAGCTAGGATTCCAACTGCAGCTCACTGGAAGGGGTCTCAAGAAAACCGAGGCCTGGCTGGAAATGGCAGTGGTCTTTGCCCTGTCCCTAAGGCTGAGAGCGCTGGTGGCCCGCAACATGTGCCGGTGCGGCAGTCAGACCCGGATGGGGGGCAGCAGATCTCTAGCCTCAGCTTGGACACCCGGGTAGATGCGGCTGCTGGCTGGGCTCTGGGTGCAAGGAAGGGGAGAGCCAGGGGCATGATTTAAGCAGAGGGGTGTGTGTGTGTGTGTAAGGGGTGTGTTTGGCAAACTCAAATGTCTCCAGGCAATGGGGGAGGGGCGTATACCCCCTACCTAAGATGATCCGCTTAACCCATGCCCTGCGGCTACTGACCCCTAAGTGGTGATATCCTCACATAGATTCCAGAGGAGGAACTACGGCCCAGAGAGACTCCATGATTTCTCTTAGGCTCTGAATCCTTTCCCAGGCCACCAAGTGGTCCCTAGCCAAGACGGTGGTGGAGGGAGCCTACGCCTTGCAGGACAGGAAGGGGGCGGGGGCCCGAGGTTGCTTTAAAGCGCCCCAGCCGTGGCGGCGCGGGGCGGCGCAGCTCCGGGAGCTGCGGGGCGCAGGGCGCAGCGGCCGGAGCGGGGGCCCCGCAATCGCTAGCGGGGCCCCGCGGCTGGGACGCCTCCACCTACGGGGGGCCGTGCGCGTCTTCTCTCGGCGCTGCCGGAGAGCGAGCGACTGCTGAACCCCGCCCAGCCGATGCACGGGAGCAGGAGGGAGTGCGGAAGGGTCCCGCGCCCCGAGGGTTCCAGCCCGGAGCCCTGCGTCCCCAGGAGAAGATGGAGCGGCCAGAGCAGGAGCTGATCCGGCAGAGCTGGCGGGCGGTGAGCCGCAGCCCGCTGGAGCACGGCACCGTCCTGTTCGCCAGGTGAGGGTGTCCGGGCGCCCCGGGGTGCATGGGGAATGGGGTGGAGGCGGACAGCGGGCGCCGCAAGAGGGAAAACTGGCCGGGGGCGCGGAGGCAGGCGCTGGGGCACCTGCCTGATGTGCGCCAGAGCAGCGGGAAGCGCGCGGCGACAGGTGGCGCAGCCCCTGCTCTCCTCGCTGGGCCGTGGGCGCGCCTTGCGAGCCCGCGCTGCCTACGCTGCTCCCCACGGGGTTCCCTGGGGGCGAGCGAGGGCGGCTGGACACCCGTTCTCGCACGGTGCCCCGGCCCCGGCCCTGGTCCTGCGCGTCCCGAGTGGTCCTGGGCGGGTAGCTGCAGGGATGCCCACCGCTGCCCATCCGGGTAGGTCCGAGAAGTGTGCGTGAGACACCTGCGGAGCCTGGGCCCTGGGAGGGTGCACTCCCAGCGCCCTGCTTCGGAGGAAAAGACCAGGTTAGGGCCAGGGATCTCACCCGTCTCCGGGCACGCCAGACAGCCAAATCTTACCCCCAGAGAAGCTTCATTAAAGAGGACGCGCGGACCCGCGGGGAACCCGGGACGGATTTCGTCCTCACCCTGGAGCGTCCCGAAAACCCCCGGCGGCCACCAGTGGGGGGCAGCGCTCCCTTAGTCATGGCGTTTAGGAGCCTTGGGCTCCCTCAGCCAGCGCCGAACTTCTGGCAAGGCTTCTGAACCCCGCGCTTCCCCAAAAGGTGACACAAAACCCCAGTGAGCCCCGATATGTGCCTTGGCTGACAGTGTCCTGCCACTGGCTCCGGGCTTTCTCCCAAATTCATCTTTTTCATTTAGGTGCCCAGCGTGGCTTTGCTACTTCCAAGCTGTGTGACCTAAGACAGGCTGCTTAACCATTGTACCTACAGCTTAGAGTTGCAAGGGATACACAATTGCAAGTTAACCACTTGCCAAGTACTCAGAGCCTGTAGGAGTTTGTTCATGGTACTAGGATTCTGTTCCGAGTCAGCCATTCAGATGTGATGAGGCTGCGAGTTCCTACCGGGGAAAGGGCTGGGGGGTGAGGCCAGGGAGGGAGGGAGAGAGGGAGGGAGGGAGAGAGGCTGGCCGCCTTTCCTTTTCTCACTATGGGACTCCAGGTTTCCTGGTGGAGGACCCCTTCCTGTCCCCAGCCACACCCCCAACCTGTAAGTAGATGTGGCCCTGCAGCAGGTGCTGGAGGAGGCAGGGACACAGCGCCCTCTGCAGGCTGCCCGCAGCACGGCCCCCCACTGCCGGCCAGCCCTGGGTTCCCTGGGGTTTGCCCTAGCACCTGCTCCAAGACTGGCACACCTCCCTTTCACAGGCTGTTTGACCTGGAGCCCGACCTGCTGCCCCTCTTCCAGTACAACTGCCGCCAGTTCTCCAGCCCTGAGGACTGCCTCTCCTCCCCCGAGTTCCTGGACCACATCAGGAAGGTGAGTGGGCCTGGCATTCTGGGAGAGATGGAGGGATTTGGGATAGGGGAAAGTTCTTCCGCTTTCTGTCGGGGCGGGGGATGGGGGAAGATCTCACTCTCCTTCCCTCCTCTCCCTCTGGGCTGGGCCAGGCCCCGTTTGGGACACCAGAGCACCCGGACCCCCATGTGCTCAGCCTGCTGCTTCCAGCCGTTGTGGTCGCTCTTGGCCTTGACCTCTGGCTCCCATAGGCTGCATCAACCCTGGCCTTGGCCAGTGGTGGCCGCCTGCCAATGAAAACCGGGCCAGGGCTTTCTTAGAGGCTTGGGGGGGCCTCAGTTTCCCCCTCAATCCAGTGGACAGTACTGCCCAGCAGGTGCAATTAGGGCTTCTGGCCACTCAGAGGAGAGGAGCTTCCTTCATGGGTGCGGCACTAGTGGTTTGGCCACATGTTGGTGCCCTGTGGATGTGCCTTTCACACATCAGCCAGGAAAACAGGATCCTGCACTGGCCCCTGGCCGAGGCCCTCCGGGTCCAGGCTGTGGGGGTCAGTGTGGTGGGCGGTTGCTCCCCCGGTCTCACTGCTGCCTTGGCCTTGGCAGGTGATGCTGGTGATTGACGCTGCAGTCACCAATGTGGAGGACCTGTCCTCCCTGGAGGAGTACCTTGCGGGCTTGGGCAGGAAGCACCGGGCAGTGGGTGTGAAGTTCAGCTCCTTCTCGGTGGGTAAAGAGTTCTGCCTCTTTCCTGACCTGGGGTCACCACCTTCTCCCAGCCCTCCCCTCGCCACCTGCTCCCTCCCCTCCCCTGCAGCTGTAGATGCCCTGGGCTGGAGGCCTGCATCTGTTACTTGGTGCGTGACCCTGGCTCCGAGCCTCCCAGGGAAGGTCCAACATGTCCCACCATGAAGATCTGCCTTGACAAGAGGGCCAGTGTGCATGAGAAGCTGGGCCCGGCAGGACGAGGGGCAGCCTTGGCTGTGTGCATTCCCTTGGGGCTGTGCTGGCCCTTCATCGAGAGAGCTGCCTGACGTGGCTGGGTACAGAGGCTCCAGCACGTGGGCCATCCTCCACTGCTTTCCCAGGCCATTAACAGGGAGTCGGACCGGAGGTGGAACAGCTGGGACTCGAACCAGCACCCATACAGGATCCTGGTGCCCCAGGCGGAGGCTTAGCCCACCATGCCACAGCACCAGGCTGATTCTAGTCTTCTTACCATCACTCTTATCTAGTGCCCACATTGGTGGCTGAGTCTCAAGGCAGAGTTCCAAGCCTCTGCGTGTGTCCCTCTTGCTAATGTCCCCTTGGCCAAAGTCACAGGCCTGCGCCCAGGGTCAGCGTGGGATCTTTCCATGGATTTTCCCACTGAATCATCCCAAGAAGCCCACGGGCTGTTTTCTGCTTCTGTGAAAGCAGCTGAGGCTCAGAGAGGTCTTGCACCTCGTTCAAGGTTGTCAGTGCCTAAACGGTGGGGTCAGGATCTGCGCTCAGCTCCTGGCTCCGCAGCCCAGGCTCCCCGAGTGCCACCTTACAGAGGACTGTAAGACTGACGCCCCGGGGCCATGACTGGTTTTGGTTGGAGCTCCAGGCGCCACCCAGGCCCCACTCCCGGGAGGTTGCAAGGGCTGGGGTGGGGTGCGATGCTTTGTTCGCTGTACAGCCTCACATTGAGGGGGAAAGGTGGGCACAGGGATCGGGGCAGGGTCCTGTACAGGAGGGAAGACCGGCACCCTAGCAGCCCCAGGCCTCGGTTTTGTCCCCTGTGGAATGGAACGACGCCTTCCTGCCTTTGGGAGTGACAGGCTTCTCCCTCCCTCTGCAGACGGTGGGCGAGTCCCTGCTCTACATGCTGGAGAAGTGTCTGGGCCCCGCCTTCACACCGGCCACGCGGGCCGCCTGGAGCCAGCTCTACGGGGCCGTGGTGCAGGCCATGAGCCGAGGCTGGGACGGCGAGTAAGAGGCGGCGCCACCAGCCTGGGTCTGACCCTTGGTCCGTGTCTGTTGTAACCCCAGTCCCCTGGCCTCCCTGTGTCTTGTTCCCTGTCCCTTGGCCACACGGGAGGGGTGATGGAGCGGCCCAGCCTCCTCCCAACTCCAGGAGTGGCTCCTCCTTCCTGTCCTGCTTCCCCGCAGCCAATCCCCTGGCTCCTTTTATCTCTCTCAGACACCCCCTCTTGTCCCCGGAGCAGAGCGCTGGTGGCAGAGGTGGCCCTGGGGCCCGGAAGGCAGGACGCTATGGGGATGGGGATGGGGCTGTTCCGTCTATGCCGCCTTCCTAGGCGAGCCCAGGCCAAGCGAGGGCTCGGGTGCCTGGGCTGCAGGCATTTCCCCGTCTTGCCTGCTCAGGCCTTGGCTGCTGCCCTGCAGAGACAGCAGCCCTGGCCTTGCAGTGGAAGCGTGGGCTTGGGAGCAGGAGATGGGGGCTGCTGGGGGCCTCGGGACTGCTCTCGCGCCACGTGGCAGGGCAGTTTTCCCAGGGCGAAACGTCCCTTCCCCTCGCGCGGCACCTCCGCCGGGAGCTCCTGGCAACTTGCTCTGGAAGAACCCAGCCTGGGGTGGGGGTCGGCCAGGAAGGAGGGTGCCTGCCTTGGGAGACCCGGTGGCTCTTTCTCACCGCGGCACCTGGCCGGGCTGAGGCTGTCCCCTGTCCCGTGACCCTCCTCTCTGTGGGTGCACAGCCCCCTTCATCTACCAGCGCTGCGTGCTTGCGCTCTCCCCGACAGCTGCAAGAGGAGGCAGCAGCAGAGGCTCACGGGCCCTGTGCTTGTCTGCTCCGTGCCGTGGTTCTAGAACCCTGTGAGGAATAAACCTGTGCCGTGCGCCTCTCTGACCCTCAGACCTGCTCTCTTCCTGGTCCGGGTGAAAATGCAGGCAGTGGATCTCAGGGCTGGGTCAGCAGTGGATGGCGAAAGAGCCAGAGGCCCGGCTGCAGATGGAGCCGTGAATCTGTGGCCCAGACTGGCTGGCAGCGCACCGAACCCAGTTCCTCTTCCTCCTGGGGGCACACCTGGACTGCCCTGCCCAGCCTTAGGAGAGATGCGCGACCGAGTTCTGATCCGTGGGCCGCGCGGGGTGGGACCACTTCCCCCGGAACTTACACATCTTCCTCCGTGCTCTGTCATCCTCAGGCCAGCTTGGTGCCGAGTCATCGCGTGAAGGAGGTGCCCGATTACCCGCTGTGACCGTTAGCTGAGCGAGGCGCCACCTGCTCTGTGTTGAGGCCAGGAACATGCAGGGGTTGGCTGGGGCGACACACAGCCACAGTCGTCCGTAGCCTGAGGAAGTTCGTTGGTGGGGTGCGGAGGCTTGAGAGACAGCACAGGGGAGGCAGCATCGCAAGCAGGCCTCATGTGCTCAGGCACGGTGTCAGCCCACCGCCCACCGTCAGCCTCCAGGGCTGGGGCCGGGCTGGACGTGGCCGGATGCGTGGCACCTGGTACCTGGGCCAGCAGCCCTCACCCTGGGCTTCTGTGTCTCAGCCCAGACAGGATGTCGCTGGGCCTTGTTAAAGCTCGGGAGGCTGGGCCTGTAGGGCTGGGTGAGTGTGGGAGGACAGCCCTCCCCCTGGGGCCTCCGCCCGAGCCCCACTGGCCCACTGAGCCAGGGCCTCGTCCACACCACCACCTAATCGTGGCTCCCTCTCAGGGGGGCCAGGGAGGCCTGGCTTTGGGAAGGTCAAAGACACTCCGCTGACCATGTCCTGAGCCGCTTGTAGCATGGGGACTTTCTCCTCTCTTGAAGGTCATCCTTCCACTTGCACGTGTGTGAGCACATGCATGTGCACACGTGTGCATGTGTGTGTGCCCGTGTACACACGTGTGTAACTGCTTCCCTCCTCTAACCCCGCCCCCACACACCCCTCCGCCTGTGCCCGCAGCTGGTCCCTCCCACTCCCGTCGCCCCGCCTCTCTTGCTTTGCTTCCTGCAGGAGTAGTCTTCCCCCACTCTCAACTCTCCTCCACATGAGAGCCTGTTTCCCCCAAGTGTGTCCCCCCTCCTAATCCACGAGGCCAACGGCACCAGCCAGCGACTTCCTCTTGCCAGGTTCAGTGCTCGCCTTGCAATGCCACGAAGTCTTAAGCACGCCTTGATTTCTAACCATTTTATTACAGGAATAGGTTAACACAAACTGAAGCCAAGAGACCGTGAATCTCCAGGTACCACCCTACCGGTTTCAACCTTCCCACCCACTGCCTCTCTCTCCCCACTGCAGTTGTTTTTTAATTTAAAGAATTATTTAAGGATTTGTTTGAAAGAGAGAGAGGGAGGGAGAAAGAGGGAGGTCTTCCATCTGCTGGTTTACTCCCCAGATGGCTGCAACGGCTGGAGCTGAGCCAGGCAGAAGCCAGGAGCTTCCTGCGGGTCTCCCATGCGGGTGCAGGGGCCCAAGCACTCGGGCCATTCCCAACTGCATTTTCAGGTGCATTAGTAGGGAGCTGGATTAGAAGTGGAGCAGCTGGGACAGGAACCGGAGCCCATATGGGATGCCGGCATCTCAGGCAGCGGTTTTACCCGCTATGTCACAACACTGGCCTCTAATTTTTTTTTTTTTATTTGACAAGCAGAGTGGACAGTGAGAGAGAGAGAGAGAGAGAGAGAGAGAGAGAAAGGTCTTCCTTTACCGTTGGTTCACCCCTCAATGGCCACTGCAGCCGGTGCACCGCGTTGATCCGATGGCAGGAGCCAGGTGCTTCTCCTGGTCTCCCATGGGGTGCAGGGCCCAAGCACTTGGGCCATCCTCCACTGCACTCCCGGGCCACAGCAGAGAGCTGGCCTGGAAGAGGGGCAACCGGGACAGAATCCGGCGCCCCAACCGGGACTAGAACCCAGTGTGCCGGCGCCGCAGGCAGAGGATTAGCCTATTGAGCCGCGGCGCCAGCCTGGCCTCTAATTTATAAAATGTTGGTTTATTTGAGAAGCAGAGAGAGAGCGGGAGGGATCATCAGCTGGTTCTCTTCCCAAACGCCCTGGCTGGGAACTCGATCCGGGTCTCCCATGAGGGACCCAATCCCCTGAACCTTCACCTCCGCCCCGTCGGGCACACACCAGCAGGGAGCTGGCACCAGGAAGGCAGTTGGGAGGCAAGCAGGGTGTTCCAGGCAGCCAAACGCCTGCCCCCGTGGGAGAGTTTTAAAGCAAACTCGAGGCTTCGAGTCCTTTCACCTTTGAGTTCTCCACTGTGCGTTTCTAGTGGGTGCTTGTCGCGCTAGCCCAGGCTGCCAGCACCCGACATAAGCGGTAGCGCCTCACCATCTCCCGCGCCCAGCCCAGGCCACCCTTGTCCATTTGTGCCAGAGATGCCTTCGAGCAGCCGGCCCGCACTGTGCCTCTGCTTGTGTCTCTTCTGTGTTCGCCCTGTCCCGGCCCCGCAGCCCAGCACGCCCCACGTGGCTGGTGCTGCCTTGTGGGTCTTTGCACTTTTCTGCCCTGTGTTCACTGTCAAGTGTGGGGAGAACTGGGGCTCCCCCATTCCCTCTGGAGCCCCTCGTTTTCCTGCTTCTTTGCTGCTGTGCCGTCTCAGACTCACGTGTGGATTCTCCTTGCTGTTTTCTTTTTTTTATATATTTTTAAATTTTATTTTCATTTTGTTTGAGAGAGAGCATGTGCTCCCATCCGCTGGTTCACTCTCCAAATGCCCACAGCATCCAGGGCCAGGCCAGGCCCACTCCAGGAGCCAGGAATTCTGTCCAGGTCTCCCACGCGGGTGGCAGGGACTCAAGTATCTAAGCCACCACCTGCCGCCTCCCAGGGCTTGTGTCAGCCGGAAGCTGCATCAGAAGCTGAGCCAGACTTGAATCAGGAACTCTGACATGGGAGGAGGGCATCACGGTGGGGTCTTAACCAGTGTTCTAAATGCCCGTGGTCCTCTGTGTCTCTGCTCAGCCCTCGGCCCTCCTGCTCACCTGGGCTTCCTGCCTTCAAGGCAGCCCCGTGCTGTAAACAGTCCAGATGCTGAAGCTGACGGCTGCAGCCACTTCCTCCCCGTCCCCAGTGGCATCTCCACCTTGCCAGGAATGGCCCTCTTGGCATCTGCCCCCGGCTGGCTCGTCCTGCTGCGGCCCTCTCTACCCTACGGGCCACTGTGCGCTCGGTGGTCCAGGCTGAAGAACCGGGACTCAGACTTCCTCCCCTCCCTTCTCTCTCTCTCTCTCTTTTTTATTTTTTTGAAAGGCAGAGTGGACAGTGAGAGAGAGAGACAGAGAGAAAGGTCTTCCTTTGCCGTTGGTTCACCCTCCAATGGCTGCCGCGGCCGGCACACTGTGACCGGCGCACCGCACTGATCCGAAGCCAGGAGCCAGGTGCTTCTCCTGGTCTCCCATGTGGGTGCAGGGCCCAAGCACTTGGGCCATCCTCCACTGCACTCCCTGGCCACAGCAGAGAGCTGGCCTGGAAGGGGGGCAACCGGGACAGAATCCGGGGCCCCGACCGGGACTAGAACCCGGAGTGCCGGCGCCGCAAGGCGGAGGATTAGCCTAGTGAGCCGCGGCGCCGGCAACTGCACCCCACTTCTAACCCCTTTGGGAGTCTTTGTCCTGATTCCAGGCTCAGTGGCCTTTCTCATTCTTTGCCCCATCCTTGTCCAGGCCATGTGGTCTCTCTTCCACGCGCCTCCAACAGCGTCTCACCAGGGCTTGCTACTCCCACCTGCCCTGACCCTTGCTACAGGGATTGCCCCAGTACACACAGGGATGGGGCCCCCAGAGGCAGCTGGGGAGGGGCAAGCGGAGTCCTCGATTCCTGGCTAGGGAGCCTCAGCCTTAAAGAGTTATGGAGCTGGCTGCCCATTACCAATGTGCTTAATACCACTTAAAAATGGGGACCCTGCCAAATTTTATGTCTATTTTACCACAATAAACAACACTGAAGAAAACCACTGGGAGCTCAGTCACCTGCCAGAACCCTCCGATGGCTCCCCTGTGACTAGAGTAGAACCCGGAGCCGAAGTGCGGCCCCCTCAGAACCCACCTCCCCCTGCCCACACACACACAGGCTCTCTCCCCAACTCTGCCCTGTGAATGCAGTCACCCTGGATGGAGTTCTGGGCTCCCGGCTTCAGCCTGGCCCAGCCCTGGCTGTTGTGGGCATTCGGGGAATGAACTAGCAGAAGGATGTTTGACCTCTCTCTCTCTCTGCCTCGAAAATTAAAAAACAAGCAAACAAAAATCAGCCGGCGCCGTGGCTCAATTGGCTAATCCTCCGCCTGTGGCGCTGGCACTCTGGATTCTAGTCCCGGTTGCCCCTCTTCCAGTCCAGCTCTCTGCTGTGGCCCAGGAAGGCAGTGGAGGATGGCCCAAGTGCTTGGGCCCTGCACCCACATGGGAGACTAGGAGGAAGCACCTGGCTTCTGGCTTGGGATCAGCATAGCAGCCATTTTGGGGGTGAACCAATGGAAAAAGGAAGACCTCTCTCTCTCTCTCTCTTGCTGTCTAACTCTGCCTGTCAAAAACAAACAAACAAACAAAACCAAAAACTCATTTATTGTGCTTGGAATCTTGTACCCAAGCGGGTAGGTGGTGGTGAAAAGCGCTCTGGGCTGTGTGTCTGGAGGAAAGAGGAGACTGCTCACTTTTGTTGACAGTGGCTAAGAGGCCAGAAGTGGCCCCAGAGGCCTAGCAGGTGGCTCTCTGGCCCACACAGCACTCCTGCCTGCAGAGCAAGGTCATGCAGCCAGCTGGTGCCCGAGCCAGGTGTTTGTCACTGAGAGGCCTGAGCCAGTGACCTGCTGAGGGCTCCAGCTGTGTTCTGCCTGGGGCTAGGGTGGCTTTCCTGGCCCACCACAGTCACCTAACCCTGGCTCGCCCCTCAGGGCCCTGTGCGCCCCAGGGCAGGGGCTGTCTTCTCCTCCTGCCCCAGGCACGGCAGCCTTCGCTGAAGTTGTTTCTCACTGCGCCAAGGCCCAGCCTGGCTGCCAGGGCGCCTCCCTGATGCCCAGCCTCTCGCCCACCTCCCCCAGCGTCGTCAGGCACGGACCGCAGCCGGCCCAGGCTGCCGCTCCTTTTGGAGGCTTCTACCTGCCATTGGAGTCTTCTTAGGTCCAGCCCCTGGTCTAGGGCCATCACCTGCTCACTTGGGCTTCTACTGCCCAGGGAAGGCTGTCTCGGCGATGGCTCCCTGGGAAGCTTCCAGAACATTCTCACCTACTGCACAGCAGAGGCACCATCCCTCCCTGCCCCTCCAGCACCCCCGCCGCCCCTGCAGGCCTTCCCACCATGGGGTCAAGGGGCCAGGGAAGGCCTCGCAGCTGGGGTTCCCACGGGGGCAGCAGCGTGCCGTGAAGTGCTCCAGCCTGCTGGCTTCAGGAGCGCTTCTCTCAGGAGCGCTCACTCCTCCCAGGTAGGGCAGGGCGGGGCTGGGCTGGTCCAGAGGCAGAGGCACAGGCAGCAGAGGCTGGGAGGACTTGTTTATTCAAGGCACGGTCATAGCATTAGTAACAGGAAGGTTCGGCATTCTGGCACATTCCTTTAGTGGTGGTGGTCCAGGTCAGTCCACCCCCGCCAGGGCCCCCCAGGGACGCAATGCTGCTGATAGGCACTTTGCTTCCAGAGAGCAGCTGGGGGACTGGCAGGCAGGCACGGGGCTGCTCGAGGCCCAGGGGGGCCCCTCTCAGAGGCGCTAGGCCATGCCTGGTCCCCCCGGAGGCAGCTCCCTCCAGGAAGGATTAAGTGGATGGGTCGAAGGTGGGTGTGACAGGTGTGTGCTGAGAGCCGGCGGAGGGGGTGGCCAGGGACAGCCGGGTGTGAGGTTGCCCCTGGCCCCTGCCCTGGGTCTCCAGGAAGGGGACAGAAGCAAGGGAGTCTGGCACTTTCCCTACACTCACACCACCGCCTCTCAGAACCACACTGCACTTGACCCAAATGCAGAGGGGAAGCCCCCAGCCCTCCTGCCACGTGGTCTGTGGGCCCCTTCCTCTGTGCAGCTTCCTAGGCTACCGGGGTGGGAGGGGCGATGGCTGAGCCAGTGGTTACAGACCAGCAGGTCAGCAGGGGCGTGGTGCTGGCAGGGCCCCCACATCCCGCACTCACACCCTGCAGGGGCGGAGCAGCTCCTGGAGCTGGCGGCCACCACGGCCTGCCAGGCCTTGCCACACAGCCGTCAAAGGAGCCTCTTCCCATGGTTGGTTGGTGAAATTCCTGGGGGAGGAGGCCCCCTTATTCCAAACTGGACAAGGAATGGGAAAGACAGCTTCCCCAGCCCAAGCTCTCCGGAACAAGCCCCGTGCCCCGGGGTGGGTGGGGGGAGACGGTGACAAGATCTGCCCCTTGAGCACTGGTCCTCATCTGCGCTGGGGCTTGGAGCTGCTGGGCCTGGGCTGTAGCAAAGGCAGAGCAAGGATGAGGCCAGGGAGACCAGAGCTCAGGGAAGCCGCATGCCCGGCACCTGGTGGAGAAGCTCAGGGGGGCGTGAGCCAGCCCCGCCGGCTGCAGGGGGACAGCAGGGCCTCAGGCCTTAGGAAGGTGAGCTCGAGAGGGCTCTGAGCAGCAGAGCCACTGGGCCGGGCTCGCTGTAGCTCCCTGCTGGGCCGTGTGGTGGTCTCTATGGGAACTTGCTGGCGACGCAAAGGGGCTGAGTGTCGCCAGCACTGCTCAGGGTTGGGCTCCTTCCAGCAGCCCCGGGAGGGCAGCCTCGCTCCACCATGAAGGGCTTCTCCGTGGGGACTCGGCTCTCACCCTGCTCCTGGCAGGGCTGGGGTGAGTCGCCGCTGGATGCACCTGCAGCATCGGGAGCAGGGCCACACTGGAGGGCAGCTCCCGAGGCAGCGGAAGGGTCCTAACTGGGGGCTGGCTGATGCCACCGGTTCGAAGCCTGGATTTCTTACCCTTAGCCATTGCCCATCTTGGCCAGCTGGGGCCCAGGCACTTGGATGGGTATGAGGCAGAAGATGCTCTTGGCGGCTGTGTCCTTGGCTTTGGAGGTCTTCTCATCAGGTTCTGGGGCTTGGGGGAGTCTCTCTAGCTTCCCACCACCCAGAGTTTGGGGCCAGAAGACCCCTCCTCCTCTGTGAACTCTGCCTCTGCCCCGTCCGCCTCACATGAATGAGCAAGAACTAGCCGAATGTTCCTTCGTCAGAATGCACACAGGTCTCGTTTAATGGGCCCCGAGCAGCCAGGCTCCAGCTGCCCTCGCAAGAGTGGAACGGAGAAGGGCCCCGCCCCGCAGCTTCTGGGGAATCTTGAGGAGGGGCCGAGGACCAGGAAGGGGCCCAGTGGCCTCTCGTCACGCCTGTGGGCTCAGCTGCCCCTTGCATGGGGAGCAGAGACCGCCTACAGGCTCCCTGCGGGAACGCCTGTGACAAGGAACTCCCATGCCCTTCCTCCTCGGGGCGGCAGTGAGGAACAGCTGGCGCAGGGGTGACCCCAGAGAGCCTTCCCTCGGCTGCCTCCTGTCTTGCTCAGGCCTTCTGCAGCTTGACCCAGCATTTAGTCTCTGTGCCCCGGGCTTCAGCCGCCTCTCTCCATCCCTTCCCGACCCCAGGGCGGGGTGGGCCCTTGGCACCTCTGGTTCAAGTTGCTCAGCAGGTTGTGGCCTCCTGGTGGCCGTGGCTGGGGTGGCAGATGTCTCCATCGGGGGCTTCCCAAAGTCTGCAGGAGCTAGCGGGGAGGTCCGGGCCACCCTCCTTCCTCCCTCGGTCAGGCCGTCCCCTGGTCCCCCAACTGGAGTGGCCAGGTGGAGGCCTCGGGTCCTCATCAGTGGTACTGGCTCTGGCCCTCCAGTTCCAGCCCTTCCTGGAACTGGGCCGAGTCCAACTCCCCCGCAAAGCCCCTCAGCCCACTCTCTTCTTCTTCTTCTGGCTGACTGTTCATGGTACCATAGGTGTGCCGGGCTGGGGAGGAGGCGGGGGTCAAGTTCATTTCCGGCTCTTGCAGCACCGTGGCCACGTACAGCTGCTCGGGATAGAGAGGGGAGACAGGGGCAGGGTCACATCTGGAGCAGAGCCCTGGGCACACCCTCTCCGTTCATACTCACCCGGTCACCTGCCCCCTCCGAGCCACCAGCCCTTCTCCGCCCCCCGCAGCCGGAGTCCTGTCCATCCCGCCCCCCTCGCTGCTCTTGGTCGTTTCACAGCGCTCCTACATCCTAGCACACTGTTCCTCCTTAGTATGTGCCACTCATCCTGGGGTCAGCGTCAGGCTGGACCCCAGGGAGATGGCGGGTGACTCCCCCAAGCTGGGGTCTGGAGAGACCCCCATTCCTGAGACTGCACTTCCTAAGGTGTGCAGGCCCCGCCCTGGGGCGTGTCTCTAGTTGGCCTTCGAATCAGGACTTGACACTGAGACTGTGAGCTGTCAAACTCAGCGCTGGTCCCAGGAATGCAGCTGGCTAGGAACACACAGGGCATGCTAGGGGAGCGGGGAGCGGCTTTTAAACCGGCTCCTTGACTTCGAGACTGGTGTGATTATGGGATGGAATTGAACCTTTCCTATGGAGTTTCAGTGACACCACAGTCTCGGTTGGTGGGGAAGCAATTTCCCTACAAAAGAATCTTGACACCTGCGTGATGCCAAAGCAAGCCCCACAGGTGACTTTTTTGGTCAAAAAAGGGAAAATGGTCACTGAACCCTGGGAACGGTCAGCTGTCTCTGCCCTCCTCGTGGGGGGGGGGCACGGGAGTAAACAGGATGCTACGCATTTCCTGGCGTGAGGCACAGCACCATCTGTAATGTATTCGGGCTCCCACGTTGAACTTGAATCTGTCAAGCCTTCGAATAACTTCTAGTTTTCAGGGAATACAGGTGGCGGTGGAACCTGCTATAGGACATGATGAAGAAACAGCAAGAAGAATCCAGAAGGCGGCACATTCTGCAGGAACACTGGCTGGCTCTCGCCCGCAAGTCACAGCAACGGGACTGTGCTAAAGTTAAAGGGACCTGACCAGACGCACAGGTGCCAGATTGGTCCAGTGTCTGTGCCACACTGCATCTTGTCTTGGACAAGCTCTAACGGATATTTCTGGAATAATCAGGACAGTGGGAATGGGGACTGGGTATTGAAAGCCCCACAAATATATAAACGGGAACATGTAGACTGTTAACTGAAATGCAGGCTGCACAACAGTGTTTCATTTTAGCAAAAATGAAATTATGTGTGTACAACTCTATGTATTCCTAATTGCCTGGAGGAGGTACTTTCATAAACGTGTACCTATGTGTATACAAACACGGAGGTGTGAGGATATGCACTAAGGTATTAGTGGGCCTCTCTGGATGCTGGAATCTGAACTCTGTTTCCTTATCTTTGCTTGCTTTGTCTACAATGTCCATAAGCCAGTGTTACCATAATGATGTTCAAAAATAAACAGAGTTGAGAACCAGATGGACCCGGTACCAGCTTAGTTCTGCTACTCCTTGCTTAGCACCCTGGAGCCTCAATTGATTGACCTTTTGCGGCTCTGGGTAGGGGTGAAAGCCCCTCCTGGGGACGAGACACTCTTGCTAACCATATTCCCAAGGGCTGTCCTGGAAGGGCCCCAGGGAAGACAGACTTTGAGTTCCTGGTCTTCTCCCTGAGCCCTCTCCAAGGCCATCTGTCCCTCTCTGTAGGGTTTTCCCCCCAAGTCATGCAAACCCAGAGTTCTGATTCCTTCTTGCGTCTGCATACCGTGGAGACAGGTGGGCAGGCACGTCCACCCGCTGTCGCTTGTCTATGCTAGTCTGCACTTTTACCTGGGACCCAAGGAAGCCTTGTTCCCCACGGGGCTGACTGTCGTCAGTTCCCCGACGCTCCCCATCCTGCCTTCCAGGCCTTGGTGCAGGCCTTCCTCTTTCGTGAAGGTTCCTCCCCACACCCTGTCTCAACTGCAACCCCTCCTCCCACTCCTAGGGTCGGATTTGACGCTCCCTGCTCTGAGGGGCTCTCCCTGAGTCCCCAGGCTGGCTGGCGCCCTTCCTCAGTACTGCGCCGAGGTGCCCTGGCCTTGGGGCACAGGCCGCCAGGGACCAGCTCGGTGCACGCACAGGTGACTCTGCGTGTGCCCTGGTGGCAGGGATGCGGACAGCGGGCAGCCTGTGGCCCTCCAGGCCAAGCCACGGTGTGGGAGCCCGCGCCCAGCCTGCCGGGCCCCTGCACTGAGTCCGGCAGCCCCTGCCTTACCATTCGGTGCACACCGCCAATAGCTCCCTGTAGCTCTGTCTGCGCCGCTCTGCTCTGCCTGACGCCTGCACCCTGGAGGCAGCCTTGGATCCTGAGGCCGAGCCCCAGCACGTCCCTGTGTCTACACGACCGAGGTCTCTGAGGTCGGGGGCACCCTGACCGAGTACTTCCTCTCTGGGTGCCCCCTCTCTGGGTGCCTCCTCTCTGGGTGCCTCCTGTCTGAGGGCCTTCTGTCTGATTGACTTCTCTCTGAGAGACTTCTAGTGAAGCTTGAGTAAATGTTGGATCTTCTCCTGTCCCGATTCTTCAGCCAGGGCCACGGCAGCATTTGGACCTGGGCCAAGTCCTGCTGCGTCAGAAGAGGGAGCCCAGCGGGGCCCCTGTCTCCTCCCCAATATCCGGGGCGGGCACTGAACGCTGGGGCCGCCCACAAAGCCCCCCCCAGGAGGCCCCTCCCCGCCGGCCCCGCCCCCCTGACATCCCCCGAGGTGAAGGAGGTGGCTCACCAGGGAGGTGGGCGTGGACGAGGTGCTGCTCGGCTCCAAGTCAAACACAGTCTCCGTCTCCTCAGCCTGTGGCAGGGACGTGGGGCGTGGGTCACACACGCTGGGGCCTCTGCTTCCTGCCCAATCTCTCCCCACAACCAGAGGGCCCTGGACGCCACCCCTGGGCCTCTCCCCACCCTGCCTTTCCAGACCTTTGGCCCAGCTGGCAGTCGGGAAGCCTGCAGAGACACCGAGGTGGCTGGGATACTAGGGAATCCCTTCTGGAATGTTCTGTGCCCAAAGACTCTAGTGGAGGGGAGGGAGTCAGCAGAGTTGGGGGCGGGGTCACACGTGGGCCCGGTCCAGGGGCAGCCTGGACTTGGATGCTGTTTTCCTTCCTCCTGGCACCGCCCCTCCGCCTCTGGGAGCAGCCTTGACTGGCACGGTCTAGGTCCCCTGCCCCTCTCCTCTGGAGAGCTGCCTGGGCCACCAGATCAGGGGGCACTGCCGTATTAGGAAGACAGAACCAGAGCTCTGGCCTCTCACTGGTCTCCAGGCGGTGGAGGGGCAGGGCCAGGCAGCCAGGCAGGGGGCGCCTGTGCCCAGACCCCCGGGTATGGAGCCACCAGAAGCAAGAGAATCCTCTTCCAAGAACCCCCCACCCCACCCCCAGACTCAGCACGGTGCCAGCACTTCAGTCCACTTCCTTTTCTTATGTCAGTTCATTTAAAGAGGAAACAACACACTGGTACCAGCAGCAAACCTGTGCCCACTGCCATGAGCAGAGAGGTGACTGGGTCAGCACATAAATTTAAAACCATAAAAAATTAAAAAAAAAAAAATGAAAAGCTTGGGTCCACTGGAAGTGGCTCTCCAGAACCTCAGGACAGACTCCTGCCCCGGGCCACGCTGACCTAGAACACACAGGGCTCCGAGAGAGCTCAGGTGCACCCCCCTCCTCGCCTGCAGCCAACGCTTTGGCCAGGCCTCACTGCCAAAAAGCCAAGGGAGTCACGGCAGCGACTCCTCGACGTGACAACCTCAAGGTCAGCGGGTGAGGCGAGGCTAGCCCCCTCTCCCCAGGTCATCACCCGCCACCTGCCCCCTCGCGCCACGGCTCCATGATGTCTCTCTCAGGTCAGTGCCCAGCCCACACTTCCATTGCGGGAGGGCCAGCTCTGCACCCTGGGGTCTGGCGGCGGCGTCGGAGGCCAGCTGTCTTCACAGCCTGAGCCGGTGCCAGGCATGCGTGCACACACACTATGCTCACACAGCCCGCAGGCAGAGATGGGGCGACGCCTGCTGTGTCACGAGCGCCCCAGTCAGGAGAGGAGGGTCTGGGACCTGTGTCCCCGGGGCCAGGCAGGACCAAAGGAGGAAGGGCAGGCTGCAACGCACCTCGTAGTCGGTGTCTTTCCGAAGCTTCCCCAGGAAAATGCCGGAAAAGGCAATTATCATGGAAACGATCAGGGTGGCCAGGGAAAAGATGGTGATGGCGTGTAGTGACCCTGCCGAGGAGAGGAGAAGGTGTGGGCTGGAAGCCTGGCCCCACGGAGGGTGGGCAGGACTCTGCCCGGAGTCCACCTCTGCAGCTCTGCGGGGCTCGGAGCCTGGGGTGGACAGACCCCGGCCCCGACACGACAGCAGCCCCCTGCTCTCCCTGCCCACCTCAGAATTTGGCATCGTGTGGACTCCATGGTAGGGGGGAGCACTTACTTACGTATGCACGTAAGTGCTCACTGACACCCGTTTAGCAGAGGTGAGGTCTGTGCTGCGGCTGCCGCCACGGCCCGGCCAGCGTCTCCCGGGCGCGGGCTCTGCCCTTGCCTCTGCACACAGCTCTCAGCTCCTCTCCCCGGGAGTCCTCTGGAAGCGAGCAGGCTCGGCTTCCTGTGCTCACGGCCCCAAAAGGCAAACTGGAGCTCAAAGTCAGTTCCGTTTCCTCGGGGGATGTTTGGTGCCTTGAGAATGGCAGTTTTCTGAGGAGGTAAGTATTGAAAACTGCTCAGCCGGTACCACGGCTCACTAGGCTAATCCTCTGCCTGTGGCGCCGGAACCCCGGGTTCTAGTCCCGGGTGGCCAGTCCCGGTTGGGGCTCCGGATTCTGTCCCGGTTGCCCCTCTTCCAGTCCAGCTCTGCTGTGGACAGGGAGTGCAGTGGAGGATGGCCCAAGTGCTTGGGCCCTGCACCCCATGGGAGACCAGGATAAGCACCTGGCTCCTGCCTTCGCATCAGCGTGGTGCGCCGGCCATAGCGGCCATTTGGGGAGTGAACCAACGGAAGGAAGACCTTTCTCTCTGTCTCTCTCTCTCACTGTCTAACTCTATCTGTCAAAAAAAGAAAAAAAAGAAAAAGAAAAAGAAAACTGCCCACTGCAAGCAAAGCTACATAATGCTAACTGTGATGTTTCTATCATAGCAAAAAAAAAAAAAAAAAAAAAGAAGAGAAGACGTCCATAGCCAACTCGGAGGACTTGGCTATGACTGGGAGACGTCACCGCAGCCATGGAAAGGCCTGGGGTTCAGTCTTCTGGCAGGGGAAACGGCTCAGAACGCAACGTTCCTGAAAACAGGCTCCCGAGCTGGATGGCACCAGGGCACTTCCAACAGTTCATGGAAAATGGAGTGAGAGGACGCCAATCCGGGTGTGAAACTTCTTTGGACCTCCACGTCTAGCTTTTTCACAACACACATCTCCCATGAGGCTGTGTGGCTCTCTCCTGTAACACGGATGACCCTGATTCCAGCCCCCCACCCCACCCCGCCTCCGTCCCCCGAGAGAAGATGCACAAAAGGACATCTGGGAGCTGGGGCCGGCGCCGTGGTGTAGCTGGTGCAGCTGCCGCCTGAAGCGTCAGCATCCCATGTGGGCACCGGTTTGAGTCCCGGCTGCTCCACTTCCAACCCAGTTCTCTGCTATGGCCTGGGAAAGCAGCAGAAGATGGCCCAAGTGCTTGGGCCCCTGCACCCTCGTGGGAGACCCGGAAGAGGCTCCTGGCTCCTGACTTTAGATCAGCAGCCATTTGGGGAGTGAACTATCGGATGGATGACCTCTCTCTCTCCCTCTGCCTTTGCCTCTCTGTAGCTCTGCCTTCCCAATACAGAAATAAATCTTAAAAAAAAAAAAAAAAAAGAAAAGGACATATTGGAGCAAGAGACGTCCCGCTGAGGATGAGATTAGGGGAGACGCCAGCTGTAGCCTTCGTGAGTTCTTTCTATTTTTGATGCTGCACATGTGTCCTTCATCCTCAGTGCTGTGGGTTGAGGAGGGTTAATCGCCTCAAAACCCTGGCAGGTGCAGAAGCTCCGGTGTCTCCACGTGAACTTGGGCTACTGTTGATCTCATGGTGGGGCTGGCGGGAGGTATTCGGCTCACTGGGAGCGAGCCCCTTGGAAGGGGGCCTCGGGGAGAGGGTTGAGTCCATGCTTGCTCTAGTTTCTGTCTCTGCTTCCTAGCTCACCATGTAACTGTTCCTCTGCACCCCAACACTGGGCTACAGGAGCCCCCTAAGCCTGCACTGTCACCCCCAAAACACCTTTCCTTTCCCAAGAAGCTCCTTTTGCGAAGCAGACTAACACACTTAGAAAAGGGCTTTATGGAAAAAACTGAGTGCTGGGTGGCAGGGAGAGGCTGGTGGGATAAGAAATTTGGGATGTCCATGTGGGAGATCTGGAAGAAGCTCCTGGCTCCTGGCTTCAGCCTGGCTCTGCCCTGGCTGTTGTGGCCGTTCAGGGAATGAACCCAAAGATGGAAGATCTCTGTCTTTCTCTGTCTCTCCCTCTGTCTCTGTAAAATCTCTGAAAAAGATTTATTTATTTGAAAGGCAGAATTACACAGAGAGAGGGAGACACAGAGAAAGACAGAGAGAGTGAGCTTCCATCTGCTGGTTCTCTCGCCAAATGGCTGCAACAGCCAGGGTGGGGCCAGGCTGAAGCCAGGACCCAGGAGCTTCTTCCAGATCTCCCACGTGGGTAGCAGGGGCCCAAACACTCAGGCCATCGTCTTCCACTGCTTTCTCAGGTGCATTAGCAGGGAGCTGGATTGGAAGTGGAGCAGCCAGAACTTCAACTGGCGCCAATAAGGGTTGCTGGTGTTGCAGGCAGCAACTTAACTTGCTGTACCACAGTGCTGGCCCCAATAAATAAATCTTTAAAAGAAGAAATCAGAGGTGACAAGTGGATAAGCCACACAATTGCTGGAGCACTGATTATTTACAGATGCCACTGGAACAGGGAGAGAAAAGGTAACCCCGCCTCTTCCTCTTCTCTACTGAGAAGGTTAAGGTCGAGTGTCCTGAGAACAGTGGGTTGAAGGCATGGGTTCCTCAGAGGGGAGGAAGCCGAGGACGCCCGGGCTGTGGCCCATGGGGACTTGGTCTGTGTGGCTGTCCCTGAGCGCCCCTGGGTACAGACAGCAGCTCTGGGAGGCCAAAGTGTCCGGGAGAGGCTGCACCGTGCAGACTGGTGCATCCTCCTCCAGGCTTGCGGCCGCCCACAAGCCAGAGGTCCTACAGGATCCACGGAAATGCTGCGAGACTCGAGCCCCCCAGCTGCTAATGTTCCTGCCAGCCGTGAGTTAGGAAGTAGAACTATGATGTTCCTTCCCCGAGAGTGGAAACCCAAGTCCACACACTTCGGACTGCGCTGGTCCCAGCACTCACAGCTCTGCTGGGACTCAGGCGCACCCTTGGAGCCGCACAAGTCGCCAGACTTGGCCACTTCCCAAGAGCATCACCTGGCTCTCCCCGGCCTCTTCTCCCCACACAGGGCAGGGGCTGGGCCACCCACAGAGCAGGGGCACAGGCTGGGGACCCACCTAAGCGCAGGATGGAGAAGAAGAGCATCCAGAAGAGGCAGAGGAGCGGCGCGAAGATGGCCTGGTGGACGGCGGCCATGTGGATCTGCTCGTTCAGCTTGGTGGGCGCGTAGGAGTAGTACATGTTGTAGCGGTCCGTGAGGTGCTTCATGCCCAGGTAGAGGAGCCCTGGGGCCGGAAGACGGAGACACGCTCAGGGCTGCTGTGCAGCCCCAAGTCCTCCCTCCCAGGCGAGACAGGTAGGGGGAGCCCTGTGGTGGTGCGGAGCCTGGGACCAGCAGCTGCCCTGGAGCCCCCAGAACCCATCTGTCAGCTTGGTGAAGCCATGCGTGCGCGCGTTCACGCAACAAACATCCCACGTCAATAGCCACTCAACCTCAGTCCCTAGCTGGCCCTGACCATGGACTGTCCCAGGCTCCTGAGTGTGGAGTGTGACGGATGCTGTGGGGCTCGGTGCCTGCTCCCAGCCCGAGGGTGTGCAGCCCTGGGTGTGCCCCGGATGTGACTCACCAAAGGGGACAATGATAGGGCAAGTGATGCTGTACGCCATGACCACGCTGAAGACATTCAACATCCACGCGTACTCTCGCCCGTACTGGAAGTCTATGGCCTGGCTCTGGGGCAGAAGGCAAGGGTCATTCTGGGGTTGCCCAGCCTCCTCGGGTCTCCTGTCAGCCTCCTCAGTAGCTCGGCCTGCAGGCGACTTCCCTTCCAATCCTGGGCTCCAAGAAGCAGCTGCCCGTGTGCACCAGCCCTCCCACTACTGGCTCCCTCCTCAACCCCCTCTCGAGGGAAACTGAGGGTTGTGCTCGTGGAGGGGCCCGGCCCTTACTTTTGAAAAATAAACATGCTTGTTATTTAAGAAGGAGAGAGATGGGCAGAGAGGGCTCCATCCCCAAAAGCCCACCAAAGCCCCATGGGCTGGGACTGAAGCCAGGAGCCGAGAACGCCATCCAGGTCTCCCATGTGGGTGGCAGGAACCCAAGTACGTGGGCCATCACCTGCTGCCTCCCAGGGTGCACACTAGCAGGAAGCTGGAATAAGGCGCAGAGCCCGGATGCACACCCAGGCACTCCAATACCGGAGCAGGCGTCCCAGGCGGCGGCGTCTGAACCGCTGCATCACACGCCCGGCCCCTCCCCCACACCCCGGCCTCACCTTTCTGATGTGGGCTCTCTCGGGCTCCGATCTGGAAAAGAACAGGCGGGTGCAGTACAGGAAGAGGGAACCCATGCGCATCAGCTCCATGCCCGTGCCGAGCAGTGCGGCCGTGATCACGTAGTTGACGAAGAAGGCGCCGTTGTCTGGCAGGAACACACACCTGGGACGGGGGAGAGAGGCGGGGAGGCAGGGGAGAGAGAAGAAGAAAAGCCACAGAGGGAGTGGGCGTGGGGTTGGAGACACAGACAACGGGAATCAGCCTTCGGGGCAGTCAGGCACCTCGGAGCAGCGTTTTGGCCAGCAGCGGAGCGCACAGACGGGGTGGGCCCTCAGGATGTACCACCGCGGGATGCTGCAGCCGTCTGTTTGTGAGAACACGCTCCGTGCGTGCTGCCCGCACAGGGATGAGCTGCCCTGACCGCGCGTCTTTCAGCACGTGCTCCATCATAAAGCAACCGTGTGTGCAAGGAGGAGGGTGTTTTACAAGGCTCGTGGGAAATGGAACTAACAGATAAGCTTATTTTGGGGGCTGGTGTTGTGGTGCAGCGAGCTAAGCTGCTGCTTGTGATGCGGTATCCCATATCCAGTGTGGGTTCAAGTCCCAGCTGTCCCGCCTCTGATCCAGCTCCCTGCTGATGTGCTAGGGAAAGCACTGGAAGATGGCCCAAGTGCTTGGACCCCTGCCACTCACACGGGAGACCCATAGAGAGCCCCGGGCTCCTGGCCCTTGGCTTGGGCCAGCTCAGGTCATTGCCGCCATTTGGGGAGTGGACCAGCAGATAGAAGATTCTCTCTCTAGCTCACTCGCTCTCTTTAACTGCCTTTCAAATAAATATGTCTTTAAAAAATGAATTAATGAATGGCTAGAGATGGAGAGATAAAGATGCAGTTTAAAATAAATAAATAAATAGGAGCCAGCAGTGTTGCTCAGCAGGTTAAGGCTGCTTGCAGTGCCAGCATCCTACATGAGCGCACTCCAAGTCCCAGCTGCTCTGTTTCAGATCCAGCTCCCTGCGAATGTGCCTAGGAAAGCAGGGAAAATGACCCAAGTGCTTGGGTCTCTGCTATCCACATGGGAAACTGGATGGAGTTCTGGGCTGCTGCTTTGGCCTGGCCCACTCTTAGCCATTGTGGCCATGTGAGGAGTGAACTAGTGGATGGAAGATCCTCTCTCCATATATGTGTGTGTGTGTGTTATACACACACACACAAATCTCCTTTTCTGTCTGTAACTCTGCCTTTCAAATAAACGAAATTTTAAAAAGTTCTTTAAACAAATAATAATTACAGACTCTTTAACAAAAGCTTTTATTTATTTTTAAAAGATTTATTTATGTGAAAGGCAGAGTTACAGAGATAGAAGGAGACACACACACACACACACAGATATCTTCAATCCACTGGTTCATTCCCCAGATGGCTGCAATGAAGCCAGGAGCCAGGAGCTTCATCCGGGTCTCCCACATGGGTGGCAGGGGCACAAGCACTTGGCCCTCGTCAGCTGCTTTCCCAGGGAGCTGGATCAGAAGTGGAGCAGCCAGGACTCAAACTGTCGCCTATGCGGGATGCCAGCGCTGCAGGCTGCAGCTTCACCTGCCGTGCCACACAGCGCTGGCCCTGATTCTTTCTTTTTAAAAAATAGTTATTTTCATTTGCTTGAAAGGTAGGAGAGGGAGACGGGGAGAGGCGGAGAGCTTTTTCTTCCACTGCTGCTTTGCTCCAGGAGTCTGGAGCGCCATGCGGTGGCGGTGGCCCAAGCACTCACTGCCTCCCAGGATGCATCAGTGGGAAGCAGAACAGGGAGCAGAGGAGGCGGGACAGGAGCCAGGCCCTCCGGTATGAGACGCGGATGTCGATGTCCCCCGCGGTGGTTTAACCCCTGGCACCGCAATGCCCTCCCCCAAAGCTGCTGCTTCTTGATGGCACCAAATTTGCTTCCTGGACCCACAGATCTTTCCTGTTATGTGTATAAGCCGTGTCGGGATACTGGCCTAGCCAATGTTCACTCACACACACACACACACACACACACAAACACACTTATGACAATGCAGTGTAACTTGAAGCCCCGTGGATTGTACTGGTGTCAGCTTCTTGGTTTCGATACTGTATAAAGCTACGCAAAATGTTATTGGGGGAACCAGATGAAGGGAACATAGTCCCCCCCACATATCCTGTGCATTTGAAGAAGGCAACTTCCTGTTTCAAATCGACAATTATTTCAGAAGCATCATTCTGAGATGGGGACCCAGGCGTGTGCCAGATTGCCAAAGGGGTACGAGGACATGAGGGTACCCAGAGCGAGTGTTCGCCCGCGTTCATCTATACCCTGGGAGCAATGCAGGGCTGGACTCAGCAAAGGGTATGTGGAGCCCCCGGTGTGAACCCACAGGGGCCCTGGGGTCCCCGGGTGTGTACTCACTGGAACCTGATGGATGCCTGCTCCAGGTAGTAGATGTCAAAGAGCCAGCGGAAGAAGACATCCAGACTGGAAGCAAGAAGACAGCCAGCCCTTTCGTTAACACGCCGTGAGCTGAGGCCCAGGGTTCACTCCTTCCAAACCCCCAGCCCCAGGGCTCAGTGCTCTGGCTTGGCTCCATGGCCACCTAGAGCCTGTTACCCTGCTCCTCTCTCTGCTTCCTGCTGGGCCCCCACTCCACTCAAGGCCATTCCTGCTGGCAAATCTCTGCCAGCCCCTTCTCCAGGGCTCCCTCCTCTTCTGACTTCCCACCCTCTGAGGGCAAGGCACACGGCTGGCACACGAGAGCTGGCGTGACCCTGGCTCATGCTGTGTGCACGGCCGGCCAGGGCGCATCTTGTGAGGAGTGGACTTGCAGCAACCACAGGTCAGCCTACAGTGTCTGGAAGGGGACTCCACGCTAGGGTGAGCCTGGCTAGTGGGGGAGGGGTGATTGGAAGTAAGGTACCTGGTCAGCCCCATCGAGGGCAGAATGACTACCATGAAGACCAGAAAGATGTAGCACTTGTGCACTATGATCAGGTTCTGACTCGATCTGGAAGGAAAGAGATTTCATCACTGTGTGAGACGCGACAAGAACCGGAGGTCTAAGAGAGAGACACACACACACACAACTAGGTGGGCCAGGAAATCAATCAGTGCACACAATACCAGCTACACAGAGCACTATCCACTGTGCCACATCTGGGTGCAGCAGGGGAGAATTGTAGGATCAATTAGTGATGTCTGTCTTGGACACAGGAAGGGGAGGGAGGGCACATATGTGTCACCCTTGACATAGCTGTGTGAGACACATTACCATTGATGCTGGGAATCCCTGCAGGTGTCAGCAATCAATGTAAGAGGACAGACCACCAAGGACTTGTGTTGGGACAAACCTCCTGCTTACTCCTGGTAGAATGGTAGGAACTTTCACATTTTTTTTTAAAGACTCATTTATTTATTTCGAAAGGCAGAGTTACAGAGAGAAAGAGGGACAAAGAGAGATCTTCCATCTGCTGTTGTTCTCCCCAGGGAGCCACAACGGTCAGTGCTGGGCCAGGTCGAAGCCAGGAGCCAGGAGCTTCTTCTGGGCCTCCCACGTGAGTGCAGGGGCCCAAGCACGTTAGCCATCCTTCACTACTTTTCCAGGCCACTAACAGAGAGCTGGATCTGAAATGGAGCAGCTGGGACTTGAACCAGTGCCCATATGGGATGCCGGTGTTGCAGGTGGTGGCTTTACATGCTACGCTACAACACAGCCCCTAGGAGCTTTTGAGAACCACACAGACCTCAGGCCACGGCACTGCCATCTGCTTAGGATGCTGCAAATCTTTCCTACCCAATTTACTACAGCCACAGACCCACTGGGGCTAACAAGGGGAGAGTCTCCTGTTTGGTGAGCACGTCAGCACTGTGTCAACCAGACGTGTCCACAGTCAGACTGAGCTCATGGCCCAGACAAGCCCTCTCACCCTGTGCCTTCCAATGTGACTCAGCACAGCTGAGCTCATGCCTGCAGCTCCACGCCCTCAGTATATGGCTGAGGGCTGACGAGAGCCCGTGGAGGGCTTGGTTTGGCCCCACACACCTCAGAGGGTGGCTCTGACTCAGCATCACTGAGCCCAGGGCCCAGAGACAACCCCGCACCTCTTTCCAAAGAGGAAACACCTGTTGGTGGGCTGGCATCCTGGAGCAGTGGATTAAGCTGCCTCTTGGAACACTGGCACCCCCTATAGGAGCAAAGGTTCTGGCCACTCAGCTTCTGCTCTGGCTCCTGGTTAATGAAGGCAGCAGAGGATGGCCCGAGAACTTGGGCTGCTCCACCCACATGGGAGACCCGGATGAAGTTCTGGGCTCCTGGCTTCAGCCTGGCCCAGCCCTAGCCCACTGCAGCCATTTGGGGAGTGAACCAGAGGATGGAAGCGCTCGCTCTCTCTCTCTCTCTCTCTCTCTCTTCTCTCTCTCTGCCTTTCAAATAAATAAAAACATCTTAAAAGAAAAAAAATACAAACAAACATTGGGATGGTTCCAGGTATCAAAGCCATCTCAGGTCAACTCCATTCCTCCAGCCAGACGGCAGGCCCAAGCACCAGGCTGGCGGGGTAAGGAAGGGGCAGAGGCCCTGCTCACCTGGTCCAGTGGGCCTCGAGGAAGGCAGAGAGGTAGACGATCAGAGGCATTATCACCGTGAAGGCCCAGAGCATCAGGGAGGGGAAGAACTGGGTCACGATGGGGCTCTGCAGGGCAGAACGGAGGGGGCAGGAGCGGCATCAGTGCAAGAAGCCCCTCCCCCGGCAGGTGACCCCTGACCTCCCCTGTGGCCCCAGCCTCTCTCCCTCAAGCTCAACCCGGAGGAGGCTGTGCAGCAGGCCTGGCCTGTGTGGCCAGGAGTCTGCTCGGCTGGAGGGAGGCAGATGTGACAACCAAGGTTAAGTGGAGTTCCCATGAGGCCACAGGAGGACCCCCATGATCTTCTATGCTGAGGCCACTGGAGGGTCAGCCCTGGTCCTCCCTGGAGACTTCAGCCTCACGCCAAGGTTAGTGGCTCTACCAGGTCTCAGAGCAGAGGCCAGGCGCCACTGACTTGACAGTCGGGTCGTGTGAGTGGCTGGGGGGGGCCAGTGAAGGAGGAAGCCCCAGGCAGATGGATGGGACCTGGGGCCTACTAGGAGGCTGACGAAGGGGGCCAGTGTGCACAGCAGTGGCGTGGCCTGACTCGTGTGTGGGTGTGTGTGCGTGTGCGCTCATGTGTGCTTGTGCTTGTGTGCATGTGTGCACGGGCACATGGGTGAATTGCTGGGAAGAGGGATGGCGGCAACATGGAAGGACAGGCCTTCCAGACCCCATAGAGGAGCCCTGATTACACAATCGGGACCTGGGCCAGCGCTGCCCTGGAACCAGACTCTCAGCAGGGGCCATCCTCCAACTTCAGCCAGAGGGCTCCCACCTGGAGGGCAGGTGAGGGAGTGCAGCAGATGTGAGGACCCGCTCCTGACGCCTGTGTTGGGCTGTAGGTCTCCCTTCCTCACCTCCACCCTACCAGGAACTCTGCCCCAGAGAACTCGGGGACAACAAGGCTGCTGCACCTGCTGCCCTTTGCACACCCCCAGCTCTCCCAAGCTAATGGAACCCACCTGGACCGGACTGCCCCCAAGTTCCCCCCAGCACCTGCCTGCGGCTCTCCCCCTCCCCTTACCTCTCCAGTCCCAGGCACTGAGGCAGGAACGACTCACATTCTCCCCTTTCAGAACGAAGGGCTCCCTACTCTGCCCTTGACACCACTCCACTCTGCCACGTTGGCAACGCCTGGACTTCAGAGCCCTGTCCCGGTGGGCCCCCATCCCCTCCTCGCCTGAGTTCTTCCTTGATCTCCCTGGGACCCCCAGGCCTGGCCTGAGCCGAGGAGGCACCTGCAGCTTCTCGATGGGGCGGGTGACGTTGTACATGTCGATGGTGTTGATGATGATGGCAGGCGTGGTGAGGAAGAAGAAAAGGAAGAAGAGGAAGGTGTTGATTGCGATAAAGCGGGCCCACCAATAGAAGCGTCGGACAGACAGGTGCTTCCTGGGGACAGAGGGGAGGAGGGGGCGTGCTCAGGACCCTGGATCCCAGCCAGCTGTGGGCCCAGCTGCGCTGGTCTAATTCAGCCTCCTGCCTGCTAAGGGACCGCCCCTCCATCACACCATCGCGCACACGAGCCAAAAACGGATCTAGTTTTCTTCCACAGGAAAACCCTTCCAGGCTTGGAACGGGGTGAGTTTGGGGGTGGGCAGAGGCCATCATGCTAGGGAAGGATAGTGCTGGTCTCGGCCCCTGGGGAGTTTCTGTTGGGTGACAAGGACCCATCCTGTCACTCAGGAGAGGGGAGGGGCGGAGCCGGCTTACCAGATAATGTCTCTAGGGTGCGGGGCCTGGGTGACCCTCCACTGGTAGGATCTGACGGTGTTGGTCACGGAGGACTGCTGGGGGGCCACGGCACACTGCACGTACTTGTAATCTTCCAAGACGCTGTGGAGACGGCAGGGAGGTGGAGTCAAAGGCCTGGAGGTGGGAGGGCAGCTTCGGGAGGGTCTCGGGCCAGGCTCCCAGGGCCACTATGACAGACCCCCTTCCTGGAGAGTCTGGAGGCCTCGGCTGTGTCTCCTAGGACCTCAGAGGCAGACACTTCCTATGTGTAGCATCTGGAGGAAGGGGGCACTTGGGGGCACCCAGGATGCCCAGCAGGAGGTGGGTGACCACGTGGTCCCCAGTGGCCTCCTCCGCTGTCAACAGCAGTGGCGGCACATGGGTGGTCTTTCTCTGAGGTTCAAAGGGAGGTGTTAATTTTAGTCTCATCTTAATACCAATAGCTACCAATTATTGAGTTCTTTCTGTGAGCCTGGCACTGGGTGTATGGGTAATTAGCTGGTAATTAATCATCTCCATTGCACAGCTTCCTAACGTGGTACTCACAGATGCAACCAAAGAGGGGCTGGATGTGGGCACTTGGAGCTGCCCTGTCTTGGGCTTCCTAATTCAGATTCTACTGTAATTAAGCCTTGGCCGTGGCTCAGAGAACGAACAGTATTGTTGTACACAGGTGGACTGCTTTATACAACATACTCACTGCACAGCACACGCGTCCCAGCGGGGGTGAACAGGGAAGAGGTAGCAAGCCAAGCAGGACAGGTAAGTCTGAGGGTAAATGACTTGCAAACTGGCACACAGTTCTTTGCAACTCGTGTCTTGGCTGCTTTGTAGGACTGGGGTGGGTGCAGACACAGTGCTGTGCACAACCAGGCTCCCCCGGGAGCAGGGGTTGCCTGCAGAGATTCATACTGGAGCTCCCATCTGTTTGGCCCAGGCTGAAAGATCCTTCTGGAACATCCCAGAGTGGCTCAAAGTCACTCCCTATGGAGGAGGCGCTGGGGTGGAGGGCTCTAAGTCAGGGGGGCCTGAAGCCCGAGAGGGTCAGGCCAAGCAGGGCTTCTGCTCCTGATTCTCACTACGGTGAGGGAGAGCGGGGACGTGACATCACCCTCGTCAGCGTCCGGGACAGGAGCCGCGGTCAAAGGCTGCTCCGACCACTTCCGTGCCCAAACAAGGGCAGAGCAGGGAGCCCAGGGCCTCCCTGGAGATAAGCAGAGCCGGGCAGCCATGGCCTGGAAAGCAAGGTGGCAGCCGCCTGGATGGAGTGTGTGGTTCAGGGGCGGTGGGAACACGGTTCTCGGGAGGGAAGCACTCCCCCTCGTCCCTGGCAGGAGTGGGGAGAAGGGCTGGTGACAGAGCAGGGGGGCCGCTCTCACCGCTTGGCCATCCTGAAGTCATGGAAGGTGACGAAGATCAAGTCCAGCCGCTTCAGCCGGACGCGGTTGAGCTCGGCATTGAACTCGTCCGTCAGCTGCTCCTCCAGCTCGCTGTAGTACTGCTCTGCATCTACCTGGGGCGAGAGGCGGCCCTCAGGGCTGGAGAGGCCCCAGGGAGGCCCTGCCGGCCGCTAGCGCCTCTCAGCTCGGCAGCCCGGGAGTGGAGGGGTGTGTATGTGGCCGGCTTCAAGCCACCTCCAGATGGTCTGAAGAAGAGGCTCTCTCTGCAATTGGCTCCCTGCCCTGAGACCCGGAAGGTGAGGCACACGGGACAAAGGGAGGACCCAGAGAAGGGACGGAGTGGGCGGGCAGCATTGTCAGAAGAGAGGGACAATTCCTTTTCTGGCCTAGCTGGAGTTCAGCCCTGCCCCGAGGCAGGTGTCCAAGTCTTGGGGCCCCTTCCAGCCACAGTGGGCGGAGGAAAGCTGGAACCTGGAGCCTTGGGAGCCTGAGACCTGGCAGCTGACGATAGCCCGCTGTGGTCTCCCCGGCCTTTCTCTTTGGTCTTTTCTCCCGAAACCAGAGGGAGAGAAGGGCAAGGCTCTCTGGGCTGCTCTGGAGGTGGCCCCCAGGCAGACCCTCCCTCCTCCAGCTGCTCAGTGGCCAGGTACCAGTGCCAGGGCCGCCCCGCCGCCCGTGCCAGTTACCTCTTTGAAGCAGGTGCAGCACTTGCAGAAGCACAGGCGGGAGCAGGGGTGGATGCGGATCATCACCTTCCCGGTCTTCTTGGCCTTGGCCGTGTAGTAGAGCCGGCCCCGCATGGCGTGGCGCCTGTCAGTGGCAGGCATGGGACAGGGATCTCCCAGTGAGGGGCTGGCGGAGCCCTGTGCTCTCCCTCTCCCCGGCCCTCTCAGGTCCCAACAAGCCCCGCTGTGGCCTCACCTCTGATCGTCCAAGTCAATGAGCGTCCTGACGTCGTAGCAGAAGTGGACTCTGGTCACCACGCACCCTGGATAGGCCTCACTGCAGCCACAGACGTGGGGGCTTGGTGGGCTTGGGAGCGGGGTGGTGCCGCCCCCACCCCTGCCACTGCCCTGCTTGCAGGCCTGTGTGGCTCAGCTGCCTGGGGTTCCCAGTTCTCAGCCTTGCTCCTAAGGCTGCGCCTGCTTCAGGACTTGGACTCTGAGAGCTGCCACATTCTCACTAGATGGGCCAGGGACAGGGCCAGCAGGCAGAGCCCAGCCCCAGGGACCCAGGAGAGAGTGGCCCGCGGAGAGAGAACTGGCTCCATGGACAGTGTCCCTGGTGCTAGGAGCCGGGGTCCCGAGAGAAGTCTCAAGGCGATCTGCCCTGCATAGTGTGGGGCAGGGGTTCCCCCGGCTTGGGAGCGGGAACAACGGGGGGAAAGGGATGTGACCACCATCCGCACCTCACCCAGCCCACGCAGGAAGCCCCAGCCTCAGGAACCTCCTCCAGCTCCCATGGCCCTTCACACTGGGAAAAGCTTATCTAGAACAGAACCCTCGGGAGCCCCCACCGGGACGCCCCCGGCCCCACCATCCCGGGCCAAGTCCCGCCTACAGGAGGACCCAGGCTGGGTTCCGGGAAGACGCAGCCAAGGACCCACTTACTGGAAGTGCTTAATGATGATCTCGGGGTCCTGGATGTCCGTGGGCACGTAGGTGATCATCAGCGTCCTTGTGGCCTGGTGGGAGGGTAATAGAGAGAGAAGCCTGTTTTTGCACAGGAATCCAGAGACACAGGTCTTTGGAGCCCCAGGAAAGCAGGGCCTCCCTGCTGAGTACACCAGGCGCCAGCTTCCTTGCACTTGTCCCCACTGAGCCCTGCAGCCCTGAAGTCAGCAACTGGGAGCCCCCACTGTGGACAGGGCGGGGGTGGGGGCAGTGAGCAAGGCTCTGGAGAGAGGCTGGGGGAGGCTCTGATCATGTTTCCCCGGGCGGGAATGTCTTCCCGAGCCAACATCTTCAACAAGACATGGGGGTCTCGCAGGAGCTTCCGGTGACAGCAAAGCTGCCGAGGGAGTGGTCAGGGGCGTCCAGGCTCACGGGCCTGGCAGGCTGCAGCATGCTGGGTAACTTGTCAGGGCATGTGGGCTGCACCGTGGGCGGGTTACTGCGCATCAGGCCTCAGCATGGGCGGCCTTCGTGCTGATACCACGCCTCGGAATCTTTGCAAGGCTGAAGCTGGGCACCAAGGACGTGCCTCCTCGCTGCTGCCCTCCCCACCAGAGCTGCACAGCCTAAGGGCTCCTCCCCTTGTGCCTGGCGCTGAGCTGGACAGGTGGCAGTGCCAGTGCTCACCCAAGGCCCCTCGGCGTTCACCTCTGCACACCAAAGGTTGCACCCTCCTGGCCTTAGAAGTGAGTTGGGCTTGTGCGCGGGCAAAAAGTGGAGAGGGGTTCAAGCCCCCAAACACAGCTCTCAACCAGTCGTGGACAGGGAGTTGGTGGAAAGACACCTGGCTGCTCCCGTCGGGGTCCGTGTGTTCTACTCCCGCTCCCACTGTCCCCGGGGGAGCTAAGCACTGCACACTGCTCACTCCTCACTCCCCTAGCGGCTTCCCCTGTGATCGCCTCCTGGACAACAGTCCTCAGGGCTGCTCAGGAGGGGCAGGGGGTGGGCAGTCACCCCGGAGTCCTGCCATGCTCTCACCACTCAGACCCAAGGGCATTGCTAACCCTTTAGCTGCTGGATGGTGAGGTGGGGTGCAGGAGGAGCAGGTGATTATCTACCAGGGCTAAGAGGAGGCAGCTGGGCTCTGCTCCGGTGAGACCCTAGCCCCCAGGTCGGGCCCAGTTGGGATATCCCTGAGGCTGGGGGAGTGGCCTGGGGAGCTTGTCGCTTACTCACCTTTTGGCTTGCCCTGGGTACAAACCCCATGCAGTGACGAGCCATGAACACGAAGTTGAGGATGAAATACAGGAAAGCGAAGAGGCTGTGCAGCCAGAGGAGCTTGCTCCTGCCAGGAGGAGAGTGTGCGTGGGCCGTGCTGCCGGCTTCCCGGGCCCCCGGCCGTCTCCACCGCACCGGGCTCCCTGGACCCCTCCTCGCCATCACTGCCCCCGGGGCCACACAGGGGGCTTCTGTGATCATCCTCACTGCCCTGGGGACAAGTGACCTGCCCAAGGTCACTCGGAGTGGTTGCAGTACTGGGAGGGTGCCCCGAGTGTCCCTGCTGCCATGAGGTTCTACACCCGCCGTGGCTCAGGCCCCGCAGCTGCCCCGCAGGCCCAGGAGCAGGGACACGGGTCGCATGTGGGCCCAGAGGGAGGAGGACCAATGGGTTTGCTTGCCTCTCCTGGGCTGAAGGGGCAGTGGCTCGGGCCCTACCTGCCATCCCTGCTTGCAGTTCTGGGATAAGCCCATGGCATCTGGCCAGAATTACTGTTCAGAAACACAGTCCCCGGTACTGGTGTGGTTTGAGGAGAGAAAGGCCACCTTGCTTCAAAGCACCTTTTTTCTGAGTGGGCGTTTGGTGGAGAGGTTAAGACACCACTTGGGAAACTCGCATCCCCTATCAGAGTGCCGGGGGGCAAGTCTCGGCTCCCCTTCTGATGCAGCTCCCTGCTAGGGCTGCCTGGGAGGCAGCAGGTGACGGCTCCAGAGCTTAGGTTCCTGCCCCCACATGGGAGAGCTGGCTCCAGCTCTGGGCTCCTGGCTTCAGCCTGGCTCAGCTCTGGCTGTTGCAGGTGTTTGGGGAGTGAACCAATGGATGGAAGATCTCCCTCTATCTGTCTCTGTCTCTCTGCTTTGCAAATAAGTGAAAACAAAACAAAAACGAAAAACCAAATACCTTCTCCACCCCGTCCCAGTGCCTGACTCACACTTGCCATTCTGCACGGCTAGAAGCTCAGCCCTAGTTTCCAGAGAGAGGCGAGGGTGCGTGATCTCTAAAGAACACTCCAGCCCTCTGCTGTAGGGAGCCAGGGATGCCAAAGGGTCACAGTGCCGCTACGAGGACTGACTTCTTGTTGGGAATGTGTAGCCACTCTTAGCCTGGGACAGAAGTTGGATGCTCTGCTCTGGTTAGCAGCTGGGGGGAGGGTGTAGGAGAGGAGGTAAGAGGGTGTCATGGCCCGATCAGCTGCTTGGACAGTTTGGCCTAACCTGGCCTGTCCCCAGGTGTGTGGCAGGAGCATGAAGGGCATAGGGACGGGGTGTTCAGGGGGAGGGATGGGAGGCGAATGTGTGAAGTCCCACTACTGTTTCTGTAGCCTTCCCGGCAGGTAGGCCAAGACAACCGGTGGGTCTCAGCATGACCCAGTAGGGCCACATGTGGCTCAGTACACACTGATTGGGCCCGTGGTCAGGGTGGCTGAGGTTAAAACCCCCAGGATCCTGGACTGTGAGGGGAAGGGCTTAGTGGTTGGGTCCAGCACCACTTCCTCCAACACAAAAGAGGACGGAAGCTTGAAGGTGACAGGTGCACTGCCCCACATCCAGGGATGGTGAATGGCAGAGGCGAGGCACGGACCTAGGTCACGTGATTCCTACCTCCTCTTCCCTCCCACACTATGGGAACCAGGGGGAGGACTGTCAAGTCCACGGTTCACACATGGAGGGCTGACTGGGACCTCCCCTCACTCCAGGGTCCTAATATCTTAGGAGCTGGACGTCCTAAGCAAATAGGACAATTTCTCCACGCAGTCTGGGTGGTGCCACTCATGGCAGAAGGGGATGCCCCACCAAGAGAACGCATTCCCCTCCGATTCTGGCTTCCCAGGGATTCCAGGCCTTTCTGATCCTGATCAGCAAGTGGTGCTCACCCCGCAGCCCCCCTCGCCCCAGTCAGTAGGATGGAAGGTGAGGTCAGGTACCTACTCTGTGGGCACATTGACAATGGTGGTCCGGCCAAAGTGACTATTCCAGTCTGAAAGAGAAGAAAGTTGCTGACCTTGAGGCCTGGCTGTTTGATAGCCCCAGGGCACCAGAATTTAAGGTTCATAAATGAACACTTGGGGTCTATGCCCTGCTCTTTCTTCGGGTCCCCCAGAGCTCGCCCCCAACTTCCAACAAAAACATCATTCTCCCTGGGATCGCCGATGGGGCTCTCGGCCACCGAGTGAGACAAGTCTCTGCGAGGTGTCCCCAGGGCCCAGGAGTATTACTGAAGGAGCTGGCCATGAGCAGATGATGCAATTAGCAATGCCAAGGCCACTGGCAACTGTCATTACAAGAGTCCCAAACTCCAGATCATGTGAGGCTGCCTCATTCAAACCGAGAGAGTCCTGGCTAAGTGCACTAGTAGCTCAGACAGTTCCGGGTTTCGTAAATCCTGCCTGTGTTATCACTGCCGACAGCCTGGCTCTCAGGAGAGAAAGGGACTCAGAGGTGATCCACTGTGGCAGCAGGACTGGGTGGCACGGATACCCCCTGTGCTACACTGAATTAATTACAGTCTGCATCTGGCCAAGGTGAAGTCGGTAGTGAAACCAGGAGTCACGGTGAAGGGCCCTGCCAGCTGGGCCACCTCGGGTGCTGTCTGATGCCATCCAGAGGTGCAAGCCTCACACAGGCCGTCTCGTGAGTGGGACTCACTGCTGCTGCGCATTAGCACCTACGGTGCGTCTGGCTCTGTGCTGGGCACCCGACACGTTCGTTATCTCACAGTCCCCAAGACAGCTGAGGAAACCAAGGCCTGGGGGGACTGATCTGCCAAACAGCAGATCAATTCATCTGTTAGCTTGGACAAAGGCATTTCCTGGGGCACAGAAGTGGGCAAAAGTCGTGGAGTCAAGATTTCTCCTGTCTTTGAAGTCAGGCCTTCAGCCACGATACTTTTCGGTCAAGAGGACTCACTCTGTTACAAGTGCAGGAGAAGTCCTGAGAAACAGATCCTGCACTGCAGGTGTGAGGCCCAGTGGGTGAGCCGGAGGTCGGGATGCCTGCATCCCATGAGGCTCTGCTCCTGCTTCCAGCTTCCTGCCACTGCACACCCCGGAGGCACTGGGTGATGGTTCGAGTGACTGGGGCCCTGCCACCCGTGTGGGGGACCTGCATTGCATTCCCAGTGCCAAGCTTCAGCCTGGCCCAGCCCCAGCTGTTGTGAGCATTTGGGGAGTGAACCAGCGGATGGAGGATCTCTGTCTCTCAAATAAACTAATACAATTTAAAAATTAGTCAATCCATCCTGCACTTACAGTGCTGCACCCATCAGTGTGGGGACAGGGAGAAATCCAGTTCAAGGGTGTTGGCAGTGGGTCACAGCTCCTAAAAGGGCTTCCATGAACACCTGGCCAGGTTTGGTGTGGGGCTAAGAATGAACAGTCAGTCCCAGATGGAATTAATACTATGGGTCTGCTATGTGCCAGCTCCTGCCTGGGTCAAACTCTGACAAAGCAAGTGTTGTCTCTGATCTCTACATGGCTTGGCTTTGGGTCACAACTAACTTCCAGAGGTGAAATTCAAATCCAGACTTCTATACTCCCAGGCCACCCCTTAGGTCTACCGTCCCAGGCCCAGGCTCCCCAAACTCCGCCTACCCAGAACATTTCCACTGTAGTTGATGGGCAAAATGACTCCCAGTGAGGGGATACAGAGAATGAGCATGTAGACGATGAGGTGGTACTGGAACGTGATGTAGATGCGGGCGTCGTCCCCACACTTGCTGATCAGATCCCGGTCCCTGGAGAAGACACAAACAGGAACATTCTTCAGGAGCCAGTGTGGCCACAGTCCCAGGCAGGGGGAGGCAGAGGAAAGGCAGAGGTTACTGTCCACCCTCAAATAACACTCCTGCTTTGGCAGAACCGTCTCCTCCATTGCCTCTCTCGTGCCTCCAGTGTTTTTGCCTGAATCCCACACCCATATCAAAGGCAGATCTGTGAGACAAACACTGAGCAGCCCAGAAGCACTCTTGATATCCAGCACTCCTCAGTCCTTTTGTTACTCTTCAAAGCATTGTGAGCGCTTGCATTGGACAAAAGAGACTAGTAATATCGGCCGGCACCGCGGCTCACTAGGCTAATCCTCTGCCTGTGGCGCCGGCACCCCGGGTTCTAGTCCCGGTTGGGGCGCCGGATTCTGTCCCGGTTGCCCCTCTTCCAGGCCAGCTCTCTGCTGTGGCCTGGGAGTGCAGTGGGGGATGGCCCAAGTGCTTGGGCCCTGCACCCCATGGGAGACCAGGAGGAAGCACTCGGCTCTTGGCTTTGGATCGGCGCGCGCACCAGCCGTAGCGCCCATTTTGGGGGGTGAACCAACGGAAAAAAGACTAGCAATATTGACATGCACCCTGCTAAGGAACGAGCTGTGTAATTCCTTACATCAAAAAGGAACATTAGAAACCACAATGAGGTAACTACACTGCCAGTCGGGCCAACCTTAGAAAGGCGGGCCACACCGCGTGCTGGGCATGGGAACATCTTACACTCATGAGTCCATACACTGGCACAGCCTGCTGGAGAAGAGTCGGCCATGCCTATGAAAGTGAATATGGGCACAACCCAGACCTGGCAGCTCCACTCCTAGATTTATACGCAGAAGAAACGTGGCCTGTGCATCAAGACAACTGCTTAAGAATCTCATAGACAAATTATTTCTAATCTCCCCAAACTGGAAATAACCTAAATGTCTACCACAGGTGAAATGGACGCAGAATCGTGATCTGTGTAATGCAACAGTATACAGTGATAAAAATGAATGAGCCAGGGCTGCACCTTGCAACCACAATGCTATGAAACACACTCGGCACAAACAACACCTTCTGTATGACTCCATATATAAAGTTCAAAAATAGGCCAGATTGAGTTTTAGAGTTAGGAATCAGAACCCTGACTACTTTTGGAGAATGGGGGAGGGGAGGAGACTGGAGAGAGTGAGGGAGGGCTCATGGGTATTGATGGTGTCGTAATTCCCAATCAGGATGGTGGCGGCATAGGTTTTGAGTTGAGAGCTGAGCTGCACGCTTCTCTGTACAGGTGTCACACTTCACTTGTAAGATTTCCAAGCACACGTCCTTGTAACACTTAGGAAAATACAAACAAGAAGAAAATGAATTGCCCACAATCTCATCATAGAAGCTGACGATGATTATGCATTCTGGCTACTTCCCGTCCGTCAGCTTCTTGGTGTGCTGGTTGGGCTTGGTGACTGCAGGTAGGAGCAGCGTGTGAGGCAGGGCTCTCTCCCACGGCCTCCAATCAGGTGGGGAATGCAGAGGGCTAGGCGGGATGCAAGAATTTGCCTCCTGGGGGTGGTGTGAGACCAGGACATTAAGATACCAATTGGGATACCCACCTCCCACCTGGAAGTACCTGAGTTGGATCCCTGCCTTTGGTTTGGTTCTGGTTTCCCACCAGGGCAGACCCTGGGAGTCTCAAGTAGTTGGGTCCCTGCAACCTATGTGGGACATCTGGATTGAGCTACCAGCCTCTGGCTTTGGCCTAGTCCAGCCTGGCCACTGAAAGTATTTGGACAGTGAACCAGCAGACGGGAGCTATTCCTCTTTCTCTCTCTTTCTCTCCCTCCCTCTCTCTCTCTCTCTGCCTCTCACGTAAATAAATTTTTTTAGTTAAAAAAGGAGGGGGGTGGAATTTGCTTCCTGGGCCAGGACTTGCACTGGGGTATCTCCTCTTTCCCTCCACCATGGCCTTCCACCCAATCACCCTGCCACTCACCATCATTTTCTGTCTGCTCTAATCTCTTCCCTCCCCTCCTCCTCTTTCTAGAGAATTTTTGTATGTATTGTCTTTTCTTTCTCATCTCCTTTTAAAATTTTTCAAAGAAATTTATCTGAGAGAAAGAGAGAGAGAGAGAGAAAAAAAAAAAACTCCCAGCCACTGATTCCCTCCCCAAATACCCACAATGACCAGGCTGGGACAGGCTGAAGCCAGGAGCCACATATACAGTACAGGTCTTCCATGTACGTGGCAGGGACCCAAGTATTTGAGCCATCACCTGCTGCCTCCCAGGGTCTGAATTAGCAGGAAGCTGGAGTCCGGAATCAGAGCTGGGCATCAAACTCAGGTAGTCTACAGCCGGCGCCGCGGCTCAACAGGCTCCCTGCTAATGCTGCAGGGAAAGCAGCAGAAGATGGCCCAGGTGCTTGGCACCCTGCCACCCACATGGAAGACCCAGATGGAGTTCTAGGCTCCTGGTCTCGGACTGATCTGGCTCCCACCATTGCAACTGTTTGGGGGAGTGAACCAGCAGATGGAAGATCTTTCTCTCTCTCTCTGCCTTTCAAATAAATAAATAAATCTTAAAAAAAAAAAAAAAAAAAAAAAAAGACGGTTTCTATGACAGCGCTGTCAGGGGCTGCGGAGTGCATGGTGCAATGCTGCACTTCCTGTCGTCAGACAATGCACTCCCCATGGCAGGGTCTCTGAGACAGGAACTTTTTGGTGGGCGTCGGGGGGGGGGGGGACGGACACACACATGGTTGTGCACACTGACCTGCAGGCCCAGGCATGCACACACCAACAGCTGCACACGAACAGGCGCCAACATAGGACCTGGATCTTACTCCACACTCCCAGGTGCACATGGACACACCTCCCACCTGGGTTCTGTCCTACACTCAGCACGCGCTCCACCGCCCACATCACACTCGCTCTCACCCTGTGCACACTTCCACGGATGCATGAGCCGCTGTGGAGGAAATCTGCAGAGGCAGCCTCAAACTGCCCCCAGGGATGCCTTTCCTTCCACACCTGAGGGGAGCCCCCTCGCCCCAATTTCCATCTCCTCTGGTCCATGCAAGGGCTTTGCACCATGCCCCTGACTGTCATTCAGGGATCTGCCAGCCCCCAGGAAGTGACAGGCAGCGGCTGCAGCCCCCGAGGGCTCCACAGTGCTTTACACAGGCTGCAGTGCTAATACACATCATTGGTTACCTTAAAAACTACAACAATAATCACTTATAGGAGGTAAAATTCCCCGGGAGCCGTGGCACCCTCCATGGAAAGTGGAAGGGTGGCACAGGGAGGGGCGTGAGAGACCGGAGGTGGACTTCATGTTTCTCAGTGAAAGTGGATTTACCCTGATTTAACCCACGTTCGAGCAAAGCCGGAGAAGCCAAGGAGCGGTCACCCCTCTCCACACCCACATCCGGCTGTGAGTAAGGAGGCCAATTCTACAACCACGCAAAGTAGTCGCGTCACTTCCTGCAGACTCTGATGGATGCGGAAGCCCCGGAGTCTAGAGCCACAGGAGCCCCCATCAGGGGGTCCACAGTCAAATACTAGAAGCCGCAGTTCTAGGCCCGGCTTGGGAGCCCCAGGGCCTTGACTGGGTGCCTGACGCCTGCCAGAGCCACAGACCCTTGGGCGGGTCTCAGAAAACATGCTCTGGTGGCTCCTGGGGGTGGGGTGGAGTCTTATGGCCAAGAGAGGAACTCAGCAGAGCTGACCACTGGTGGTGGGTGTGGAGGCACCTAGAGGAAGAAGTCCCATGAGCCTCTGCCAAAAGAAGACCCACCCAGGCCAACTGTGCACATGCCTCTGAGCAGGTGTTACAAGACAGGAGAGGAAGCTGGGAGGAGGGGAACAAAGGATGAACCAGGCGAGACAGATGCAGGACACTCAGCGAGAGCCCAGGAGCATGCAGGGTTGGATAGCCCTGCACATACAGGTGTATGTGTGTACATGTGTGCAAGTATGAGCACACGTGCACACACACAAGCAGTGGAGGCACAGAGTCCTGGTGAGTGCTGGGCAGGAGTGTCTGGTGGGTGTTGTGGAACCGGGAGAAAACAGATGAGTGGGGTCTGTGTCCTTGCCACCTGGGGTCTGGCATTAAGAAATCCAGAAGGCGGGGGGTGGGGAGCCGTCCCTCTGTTACCCAAGTGCAGAGGCTGAGAGAGTTCTCAGAAGTATTTGTATAAGCAGGGCTTAATTGCTGCTTGGGACACGCCCCCCCATCCCGTATTGCTTGTGTCTTTCCAGAGAATGTGGGACAGCCCATTTGGGTACCAGCCAGAAACATCAAGCCTGCAACTGACAGTCAATCAGAACCAGCTGAACAAGACTGAGAGTCCGCCTTGTTAGCAGATGCACCTGCCCTATCATCCTACCCTGAGGAACTGCCCACAGCCACATCCGTTACTGTTTTATACCTCACTAGCTCTGGTCAGCCACTCGAACGGCCCATAGCCTGCATGCGGTCACGTCATTCCTGATTACCATTGTTTCTCATTCCCATCCCCATCTGAGCAAGTGCTCCTGTGGTCTCCCGTTTGACTGGTAAGATCCCCTGGGGGACAACCTAAGACAGGCACAGCTGTGTACGGAGACCACATGGAAACGGGGTCAACAATGGTGTGGTCAAGAATCATGCCTCCCTCCCGTTGCTCAAAAATAAACGAAAAGGGGGAAATGTGGTGGAATGAGAAGGCCATGCCAAGATGGCCGCTGGCAAACGAGCGTCATTACTCAGGTATGCCTTTGAAACCCACCTGGCAACGGAGCCTGCCTGACAACAGGCTGTGATTGGATGGCTTTGGAAACCACATGGCAAACGGAGCCTGCCTGGCAACAGGCTGTGATCGGTTAGGGCATAAACCGCCCCTTGACCAGATTGGCTGCTTTGGCTATTTAAGCTGCTGTACCAACTGAAATAAACGAGTCTTCGGGCTGCTTGCCTCTGGCCCACTTTCACCCTACTCTCGGGGTCTGTGTGGTGACTCCGTGCCTCTTGCCCCCACCACGCTCCTCCTCTCAGGACGAATCAACCTCAACACCGTATCAGAAAGTCCGAGTTCAAATCACTACTCCACTTCTGATGCAGCCCCTGGGAGGCAGCAGGTGTGGCTCAGGTAGCTGAGTCCCTGCCACCCGCAAGGGAGACCCAGATGCAGTTCAGACTCCTGGCTTGGGTCTGGCCCAGCCCCGCTGTTGCCAGCTTTTGGAAAGTGGACCAGCAGATGGAAGATATCTGTCTCTGCCTTCCAAATAGAAACAAATAACTAAACACGGTCCTTCTCTGGATTACGGGAGGTTCCCAGCTCACCAGCCGTAACCCTGTAAAGCATGCACCGGGTCAAGGGGCAGGGGTGCAGAGCTCAGGCCCCGTCACCCTGGGCTGGGGGCTGCCAGCTCCTGCAGCAGGCGCCCCCTCCCCCAGCCACACTGTCACGGGCTCACAGAGCTCAGGCACTTACTTCATGGTGATGCTGTTGAAGAACCAGGAACAGAAGCCCTGCGGGAAAACGAGAGGCGCGTGAGAAATTCCGGCAGCGGAGGGACAGGGTGAGGGTGGGGGTTGGAGGCAGCTACCCCCGCGTCCACAGGGCCTCCTTCCCAGGAAAGACCCCAAGGCTCAGTCTGCTGTCAGCTCAGGCGCTGTCTCCCGCCCTCCTGTTACCAGAAACCGGCCCCTGAAGGCGGGCCTTGTGCTGCAGGGAGGGAGGGACTCCTTCCAGGGGCCCATGCGCTGCTTCCTGCTGGGAAAAGCCCCTCCCAGAGGCATGTGGTCTGTCCATCGGGCAGGGCGGTGCTTCCACCATCAGACGGACAAGGAGAACTTGCCTCAAACTGAGTCCGTAACGGTTCTCGTGTGTGTGTGTGGGTGGGGGGGGGGGCAGGGTGGGATTGCCTAGCAGTTCAGATGTCACCTGGGATGGTCACATCCCATATGGGAGAGCCTGGGCTTGGTCCCGGCTCTGCTCCTGATCCCAGCTTCCCGCCAATGCACCCCCTGGGAGGCGGCAGTGATGGTCTAAGTAGTGGAGTCCCTGCCAGCCACGTGAGACACCTGGGTGGCGTTCCCAGCTCCTGGCTGCTGTGGGCATTCGGGAAACAAGCCCGACGGGCACTCTTTCTGTGTATCTGTCCCTCTGTGTGTGTCTGTGGGCCTCTCAAATAAAATAGATTTAAAGTTCTCTCAAGGGGACGGATGTGGGCGTGGGCAGACAGAGGGCCCGTCTCCCTCTGAGTTCCGGCTCCTTGGCAACAGCATGAAGCCTGCAGTGGCCACACGCAGGGGCGTCTCTGAGAAAAACATGCAGCTCGGAGCAGAGGGTCAGAGAGGGGTCCCGGTGGCATTACTGAACTCCCTGGATCAAGCCGTGCCTGCAGCCACTTAAGTTCTCCACACTTAAGCCAAAAGTGATGCTTTGCTTTGTGAACCGCAGGGAGCTGGGCGTCTTCTCTTGTCTCCGCGAGTCCTGTCCTGATGAGGCGCCTTCCTCTCGGGCGTCTAGAGTTTCTGGGTGAGGGAAAGTCAGCCTCCGCCACGGGGAGACTGGAGGGGGCTACAGAGGGAGGTGGTCTGGGCAGGCGTCCGGGGGTGGGCTGGGGCCAGGGACTCTGAAATCCGCCCCCTCTGGTGGCTGGTTAAGTGACTGCACACGCTTGCTTCTGGCATCCCAGAGGGCTTATGGACGGGGGAGCAGCTCCTGGTGGGCCCCCTGTGGGTGATGTGCACTTGAGGGAGCCGGGCGGGCCCACGTGGTCCACAGTCACATGGAACCCCAAGGACTGGGGAAGGCATGTTTCCCAAAAGGAGGCCACGAGGAAACCAGGAAATGCCTCACTGCGTCGGCACAGGGGCCACCTCGGAAGTCCCCTTCCTGTGTCAGGGTGACTGAGGGCAGGAAGGGTGCCCACTGCAGGGACACCATTTCCCCAGCTGTGCCCTCGGGGAGCGGGGATAGAGACAGCCAGCCAGGGGTGGGTCAGAGCAGGGGAGGGGCTGGCACAGTGGGGACATGGGCCGTCGGGAGAGTCCCCATCTGCTAGACAAAGCTGGGCTCGGAGGTTTTGTCTCCCCTTCCTGGGGATGCATTTCCACCTCTTCCAAGACAGATGCACGGGGGTATCCAACACGTGGGCAAGCAGGCATCACCCACTAAAGGGCAGAGGTCATGAGTGGAAGTGTGGCTGGTGTGCCCGTGAAAAGTGCACAGATGTGGGAGCCTGTGTTGACCCATCTGCCCCCTCCCGTGTGTGTGTGTGTGTGTATGTGTGTGTGCCTGTGTGTATGTGTGTGCCCATGTGTGTGTGTGTGCCCCATCCCCTGTGTGTACATGTGTATGTGTGTATGCCTGTGTGTATGTGTGTACCCATGTGTGTGTGCCCATGTGTGTGTGCATACGTGTGTACCCATGTGTGTGTGCGTATGTGTGTGTATCCATGTGTGTGTGTGCCCATGTGTGCCCGTGTGTGTGTGTGTGTGCCCGTGTGTGTGTGTGTGACCTGAAAGGTTTGGGGACAGAGGCTGGACAGGAAGGTAAGATACCAACCCACCAGGCCATGGTGAGGCACCTGCAGCTTCCAGCAAGGGCTTTAGCAAGACGTGGAAGGTTTGTGCAGGGGACTGCGTGTCCCCACTTTGGGCACAGCTGAAGCTGCGTGCGGCAAGTGGACAGGGCAGGAGCAAGTGGGCATCTGAGGAGGTCAGTCTGAGGTTCTGCAGCCATCCTTGCAAAGCCTGCTGGAGGCCTGTCATGGCGGAGGCTGCACAACTTGGGAATGGCGCGGCCATGCTCAGGGGGCTGGGTAAGCGTGAGGGAGGCGCACAAGACAGACAGTGGCAGAGTCTAGGGCCCAGAGCAGGTGGAGCGGTGCCGCGGCAGGCTTTGGGCATACTGAATCCAAGAATGCCTTGGCAACACCATGTGTGGATAATTTGGAGGCCACTGGGTAATGGGACTGGAGCTCAGGGACAAGATCAGCTGGACACTCAACAGTGGCTGTGTAGACTCAGAGAATGAAGCTGTGAGTGTGACCGACACTGCGTGGGAAGAGGGTTTAGCATCACCTGGGGTGACACTAGATGGACAGCAGGGGCCTGCAAAGGAGGCAGAGGAGCAGAATGAGGCAGAAGGAAAACCCACAAGCGGCTCCTCATGGAAGCAATTAGAAGCCCCGGTCAACAAGGACAGCTGGTCTGTAGGTTTCGGAGAGAACAGGTGAGACGGGAACGGAGGGAAGCCCATTGGACTGGGGGACAGGGGACTGCAGACCATCCTCAGGGCAATCTGGGTGGGGCTGGAGGGGGGTTGCATGGGCCCCGCATCTGGAGTTCAGCTAGGACAAGGCAGAGGGAGACAGGCAGTTGTGGGGGGCGTGAGAGGGTAATGGCCTTTCTGATGCCTGCCACCCTGCCCCTAGCCCTTCTCTGCAATCAGCTCTTTGCTCAAATGTCCCCGCCTGCCCAGGACGGGCCCTGAGCATCACCCCCTCGCAGCTGCCCCCGGGGCTGCCCAGTGCCTTCCTCATGCCTTTCCTCGTCATCATCTCCATGCACCTGCCAGCTGTCTCCCCACCCTGGAAGAAAGCAGCAGGAGGCGGGACTTGGTCTGCTTGGTCCCGGGCCAGGGGCTAGCACACAGCGGGTGCCCCAAAGCCCCCGGCTGGACGAATGGACCAGTGCATGCAGGGAAAACAGGCATTCAACGGCAAAGAGAAGGAGGCAGAGGGCTGAGCTCCATCAGGGGGCCTGGAGAGCAGGAGGTGGTGCCTGGGATCACCCACGTGCAATGGGAGATTAGTCCCAGGCTCTGAGCAAGGCGGCGGGAGGAGGGGAGGGCTGGAGCTGGGGGGAGGGCTGGAGATTTGAGAAGACAAACTCACTTACAAGGACAGGATGATCTGCTGGCACCTAGGGAGGCAGGTGTGGTTAAGCCCTCCATCTTTCAGACGGGGAACCTGAGTCTGGGGCAGGCTAAGGGACTTGCCTGGGGTCGCACCGCTGGAGGAGGTGGCATCGGGCTGGCGGCAGAGCCTCCGCATGGGAGCCGGGCTTCTTCCTGTGCACACCTGGCCGGCTGCCCCAGCCCCAGACGCTTGGGGACTTGGACTGCTCCCCACACTCACCTTGTCCTTGCGTTCCATCTCCAAGGAGATCTCCGAGGGAGAAGACTTCTCGCTCTGCTCCCCATAGATTAGCGAGGTCAGGCTGGCCGCCGGGAAAGAGAGCAGGGAGGTGGCGAGGAGAGAGAGGAGAGAGAGGTGAGAGAGGCGTCAGGCGTATGCCTTCAGCCTCCCTGCTCCCCGGGTTGAGGACGCCCAGCAGCAAGGTCTCGGCTTCCCTGCTGGGCTCTGGGTCCAGACAGCCATCGCCCCTGCGCCAGGTGCACCACACACCTTGGGAACCCAGCCACGGGAGCTAGAAAGTTCGAGTCCAGAGGTAAAAGGGGTCTTGTGCCCGGAGGGGGCTGCCCTCGAGTGCCCCTCCTGTGGGGGGCAGTGGGGAGGTGCCACCTGCTGAGACACCTGCTGCAGCGGGGCCCGGGCAGGGTCCCCGGCAGGTAGCCCATCCCCCTCCCGGGGCACACGCAGCGCCCAGCCGTAGCCGCCTCTCCTCACCTGTCATTGTGGATCAGCAGAGCCAGGCGCCCGTAGTCCCACGCGGCTTTCCGAAGGAAGGAGTACACCACAATGACGAGCTGCCGGCCAGGAAAAGCAAGACGGGGCAGGAGGGCTCAGCCCCTGCTCTCCCACGGGGCAGACCCTGTCCCGAGGTCCCCAGGAGACCCTCTGCCCCGCTCCTCTCCCCCCAGCATGGTGGGCTCTGTCAGGGAAGGGGGCATCCCCTTCAACTGGGGATTCCCAGCACCCAGGAGCTTCCTGGCACAGAGTAGATGAAGGAGCCCATGGCGAGTTTAGAGCTGGAGGCAAGAGCGCCTCTCGGAAACACCAGCAGGGGGCAGGAGTGGGGAGGCCCGAGGGCAGCAGCCACAAGGATTTTGGGACAATGGAGCACAGAAAGGAATCCCAGGGGGTCTGTCTGTTCCGCCAGCCCCTTCTCCTACGAGGCTCACCCACTGGGCGACCCTGGGGTGAGACTAACATTTGGGTGGTTCACAGCACTGTGGCTGGGGTCCATTTGGACTATGGAGTTCTACCCCCCGGCCCTACTGTGTCACTGTGGAAGGTCTCCTGTCCTCCCCCTCCATCAGCTGGGGGCTCGGTGCCTGCCACAGGGCGCCCAGGACTCACCAGCCACGAGACGATGTTGATGAGCAGCACGGTGGGGATGCCCCCGAAGGGCTGCCCCTGGAGGACGGTGCTGCGAGACTGGAAGCAGTCGTCCACCGTCATGTTGTGCAGCCGTCTCTCCATGCTCAGGTTGTCCGGGGAGGCAGACATCCTGGGAGTCTCCCTGGTGAACAGAGTGGCGTCCAGGTCCGCCATCAGGACGCCCTCTCACTTTGCAAAACACAGAAGCCTGCGGAGGGGTTTGGGGGCACGAGAGGTGAGTGCATTTGCCAGGTGGAGTCTGGGGCACATGAGACCCAAGGTCAAGGGCCGGGCTCATAGCTGTCGTCAAGGCAGGGAGCCAGCCCAAGGCAGGCAGGAGAGCTGTCTCCAACCCAGGGCTACAACGATGGAAAGGCAGAGTCCCTGGGACAGTTCTTACTCTACACACCACTGACCTCTTTTAAAAAAAAATTATTTACTTATTTATTTGAAAGTCATAGTTATAGAGAGAGAGAGAGGGAGAGAGAGAATCTTCCATCTGCTGGTTCACGCCCCAAATGGCTGCCACAGCCGGGGCTGGGCCAAGCTGAAGCCAGGAAGCTGGAAATCCATCTAGATCTCCCACATGGGTAGCAGGGGCCCAAGCACTTGGGCCGTCTCCCATGCTTTCCTAGGCACATTAGCAGGAGCTGGATCAGAAGTGGCGCAGTGAAGACTCGAGCCGGCACTCAGGTGGGATGCCGGTGTCACAGGCAGGGACTTTGACCTGCTGCACCACAGCGCCAGCACCACCACCCATCCCTTTTAAGGAGAGTCGTTGGGGTGGGCGTTTGGAATAGTGGTCAAGATGCCAGTTAAGACACCTGCGGCCCACATCAGAGTGTCTGGCTTAGATACCCAGCTCCTCACTCCAGCTTCTCCGGGGATGCACACCCTGGGAGGTCAGTAACCTCTTCCAGGACAAAGGGCCATGGCCGATGACTGTCAGGAAGCGGGAACGCGGGATCTCGGGCAGACCCCCGCACGGCCAGGGAGGGACCAAGAAGAGTAGAAAATTGCAGAGAGGCACAAGAAAGGCATCTTTGCAGCCCCAGGCCAGCAACCCTGGGGGCGACAGGCACCGGCTGTGAGCCGGTGATAAGGAGGTGGTCTCAGCTTTCAGTACTGGGCTGGGGAGGGTCCCAGGAGCTCGGGGAGTTTCTGAATCCCAGCTCCATCACTTCCTTGCCAGGGGACCTTGGGCAAGGCACCCAAGGTCTCCAGGCCTCTTTTTACTTATCAAATGGAGATGGCAACAGCCACTAGTACCCACTTTCAGGACTGTTAAGAGTGGTGAGTGGGCCGGCGCTGTGGCATAGTGGGTAAAGCCGCCGCCTGCAGTGCCAGCATCCCATATGGGCAAAAGTTCGAGTCCTAGCTGCTCCACTTCCCATCCAGCTCTCTGCTATGGCCTGGGAAAGCAGTAGAAGGTGGCCCAAGTCCTTGGGCCCCTGCACCCACGTGGGAGACCGTAAGAATTCCCTGGCTCCTGGCTTCGAATTGGCTCAGCTCCAGCCATTGCAGTCAACTAGGGGGTGAACCAGCAGATGGAAGACTTCTCTCTCTCTCTCTCTCTGCCTCTCCTTCTTTCTCTGTGTAACTCTGACTTTCAAGTAAATAAATAAATCTTAAAAAAAAAGAATAGAGAGTTAAGATTTGCCAGTTGTAGGACCAGCGCTGTGGTGTAGTGAGTAAAGCCGCCGCCTGCAGTGCCAACATCCCATATGGGTGCCAGTTCAAGTCCCAGCTGCTCCTCTTCCAATCTAGCTCTCTGCTATGGTCTAGGAAAGCAGGAGATGATGGCCCAAGTCCTTGGACCCTTGCATCCACGTGGGAGACTCTGAAGAGGCTCCTGGTTCCAGGTTTCGGATTGGCCCAGCTCCAGCCATTGTGGCTATTTGGGAAGTGTACCAGAGAATGGAGGATCTCCCTACTCCACGCCCCCTCCCATAACTCTGCTTTTCAAAGAAATAAAAAAAAATCTTAAAAAAAAAAAAGATTGGCCAATTGTGTAGAACCATCCCGGTACACAGGAAGCATCACATAAATACTTGTAAAATGAGAAGTAGGTGTGGACTTCCAGGGACACCACGGAGTGCAGAGGTTTGGTGATGGGGATGGAAAAGGGAATGAAGACAGAGGATGGGCGTGGAGGAGATGAGGGGTGGCCTGGGAGTCTGGGGCCTCTCAGGCTCACTCACACAAACAGGGGGTTCAATGAAGTTACCCTGGAAGAGGAGGGAGGGCACAAGACCTTCTCCCACTCCAACCCTCTGGATTACAGAGTCTTGTCTTCCTAACTGTCCTTACTTTCTGGTCCCTTCTGTTTGCGTAGGCTGCCCATGGCTTATGCCTCCACCCCAGGTCACTGATGCATGAAGTCGCAAACTTGAAATGGATCACATGGGCCACGGTGCACCTGAACAGCAAGCATCAGTGCAGCGGCAGCACCATCTCTGGGGGTCCTGGACAGCACAGGCACCTGTGCCATGTCGGGCGCAGGGTCAGCTGTGGCAAGAAGCTACAGTGCTGCATGCAGGTGGCCAGTAGGGGGAGTCTGGGCCCAGGAAGTGGTGGATGGTGAACCTGCCTCATTAAGGAGATTTCTTACCCAAGTCAGTTCTTGGAAGGTTCCAGCCAGGCTCCACTCAGTGACCGGGTTGCTGTAAAAGAAGGAATGCGGTGAACAGACCACAAGGCTCAGGGTCCCGGGACCCTCTGAGCCTCAGGGCCCCTTCTGTCCTCTCAGGTTCACACTCACATCCTTTATCAGGTTGTTTTGTAAGGAGTCCCTCCCAGCCTACTGCTCCTCACTTATCCGTGGTTAAGCACAAAAGTTTTCCATTTAAAAATTTTTGTTTATTTGTTTGAGAAGCAGAGAGATCAAAGAAGCTTCCATCTGCTGGTTCTCTCTCTACATGCCTGCAGACAGTTGGGCAGCCTGGGCCAGGGCTGGAGCTAGGAGCCAGGAGCCAGAAGCCAGGAGCCAGGAACTCAATCCAGTCTCCCACATGGGTGTCAGGAACCCCAACTCAGGCCATCACCTGTTGCCTCCAAAGGTGTGCATTAACAGGAAGCTGGAGCCAAGAGCCAGAGTCAAATATCAAAACCCAGATACTCCAATATGGAAAGCAGGTGTCTTAACTGGAATCTTTTTTTTTTTTACAGGCAGAGTGGACAGTGAGAGAGAGAGACAGAGAGAAAGGTCTTCCTTTGCCATTGGTTCACCCTCCAATGGCCGCTGAGGCCGGCGCGCTGTGGCCAGTGCACCGTGCTGATCCGAAGCCAGGAGCCAGGTGCTTCTCCTGGTCTCCCATGCAGGTGCAGGGCCCAAGCACTTGGGCCATCCTCCACTGCACTCCCTGGCCACAGCAGAGAGCTGGCCTGGAAGAGGGGCAACCAGGACAGAATCCGGCGCCCCGACCAGGACTAGAACCCGGGGTGCCGGTGCCGCTAGGCGGAGGATTAGACTATTGAGCCGCGGTGCCAGCCTTAACTGGAGTCTTAACCACTAGGCTGAATGCCTGCCCTTGATATTCCAGACTTTGACAAAATGACCCTCAAGCCGAGCTGTAAAGGAGGTGCAAGAACAAGCAGCGTGCAGGGGCAGTGTGGGCAGAGAGGGCCATGTTGTCCAAGCCCCGAGGGAAGAGAGCGTAGCCTTCTGAAGAATGAAAATGCATCGTCATGGCAGGAGTGTAGAATAGATCACTGGTTTGTTCATCCATCCGTCCATCCGTCCACCCACGCACTCAGTCATCCATCCATCCACCCACGCACCACCCACCCATCCATCCATCCACCCACCCACCCACTCACCCATCCATCCATCCATCCACCCACACAGCCAGCCAGCCAGCCAACAAGAATTCACTGAGTAGCAGGTTGACCGGGTACAGGCTTTCCTGTTCAACCTGACCAACGAGACTCAGGGCAGGGGAGGTAGGAAAAAGGCAGAAGAAACAATCCGCACCCTCTCCCACCTCCCCACCTTCCTAAGCTCTCCTAGGCAGCAGTGACGGAAGGCTGTTGCCATGGAAACCTAGAGCAGCTCCAGGCTTCCCCTCTGCCTCCCCCCACCTTCAGCATCTCCAGACTTTCTTTCTGGAGGGGGAGAGTTGGCTCTTGGCTGTGAAGGAGAGAGCCAAAAAGCCCAGACTTTGCATCAGCCCTGGAAAGGATGAAGTTTGAAGCCCAAGGGCGCTAACCTGAGGGTGCTAAAGGAACCCTCAGCAGGGGAACCAGCCTGGGGCAAGAGAGCATCAAGGAATGTGTCGCTCTGAATATTACACGCACAGCAGAGGACAAATAACCTGTTTGGGGCAGCAAGGAGAATCAGGCTTTCTGAATCCAGACTGTTCGGACTTAAATCCCAGACCCACTCTTGCTGTGTGACGGATTGACCCTCAGTTTCCATACCTGGAAAATGGGGATAACCACAGGGGTTCCTGCCAAGATGAAGTGAGCTGATTCACACAAAGCCCTTTGCACAATGCTTGAGAAACACACATGTGCTCACCGTTAGCCAGTGCCATCACCACCATCACCAGTGCTTTTTTTTATTATTTATTTTATTTATTTATTTATTTATTGACAGGTAGAGTGGACAGTGAGAGAGAGAGACAGAGAGAAAGGTCTTCCTTTTGCCGTTGGTTCACCCTCCAATGGCCGCCGCGGCCGGCGCACTGCGGCCGGCGCACCACGCTGATCCGATGCCAGAAGCCAGGTGCTTCTCCTGGTCTCCCATGGGGTGCAGGGCCCAAGCACTTGGGCCATCCCCCACTGCACTCCCGGGCCACAGCAGAGAGCTGGCCTGGAAGAGGGGCAACCGGGACAGAATCCGGCGCCCCGACTGGGACTAGAACCCGGTGTGCCGGCGCTGCAAGGCGGAGGATTAGCCTAGTGAGCCGCAGCGCCGGCCACCAGTGCTTTTGGGAGATGGTGGTGAGGGGCCCAGATTGGGTGCTTCCTAGTCTCTTTCCATCTACTCTGTGTTGGGATGGACAAGAGGAGTGATGTGGGGACGGCAAGGACCACCCACACCTCTCACATTACAGCTGGTGGGTGGCTGTTGCCTCTGCTCTTCCTGGGTGTAGAAAGCCAAGGCCAGCCTTGCCTTGGGGTCAAGGACAGGCAGTGGGAGAAGACGCTGGTGGGTGAGTCGGAATTCTCAGGTCACCCCACCCATAGCTGCACAAATTATTCTGATAGGAGAGTATGTGGCCCTCTTCCTATCCCATTCCTCCCTGCGCCCAAATCTGGCATCTCAGGTAAAGTTTTGTTGTCAAGTGAGCACCACTCACCCATTGCTCAGTCCTGGCTTGCAAACCAGGCCTGGTTTCTCCTACTGCTCTCCTAACCATCCAGGCAAATATGGTTCTCTCCGCCTTCCTTCCAGATGAGCCAGACACCTCCAGGCCAAGTCCTCTGTGTGGGGCGCCCAAGTGCCATGGATGTCCTCAGAGTTAGGAAGGTCCAGAGGGCATAACAAAGGGGAGATCTTATTAATAGCAACCATTTACTCAACATTTGCTATGGGCTAAAAAATTACAATTGAAGAATTAGCTCACTTCATTCTCACAAGCACCTAAGGGCATGAGAACCATCCCTCGAAAATTAAGGCCCAGGGAGGTTAAACAACTTGTCCAGGGTCTAGGCACTAGTAAGTGGCAGAGTTTATCTTAAATCCAGGCAGTTCACAACCTCTGTGCTTTGCTGTCACCTGGGCAATACTGGACAGGGCACAGAGGAAGGGGATGTCTTTGCCCAGGCTTAGTCCAAGAGTTAGCCTTCTCTGGGCTCTCAGGGTAATGCAGCAGGAAGCACAGTGGACTGAGCCAGGAAGCCAACTGGCCCCTGGAGTCACTCAGCCTGCACTTGGTCTGCTCACAGGCCCTGCATGGTGACGGGGTGACAGAATCCCTGTAGCCATAAGCTGTGTCCTAGGAGCAGATGCTGCAGGTGGGAAGCCACCCCACCTCCTCCTCCAGCCCCATCACTGCCAGTACACAAAGCCACAGCTCCTGCCCTGCCCCCTTGCCATCTGGCCTTCTCAGTCTCCGCAATAATTCATCACCTTTTTTGCTAACAAAAGGAAAGATTATCTCTCATGGTTCTGGACCTAAACAAGCAAACCAGGATTCCCCTCCCCTTCTTCTCTGGGTGTCCTCCCAAGGGCAGCAACACCTTTCCAGGAAGTCAGCTCAGTAGCTTCATCCCACACTCCCTGCTAGGGAGCCAGGGACCCTATAGGGGAAGGGGTGTTGCTGGAATGAGGGGTTCTGATGTATGTCCTTCCCCACCCACCTTATCTGTTGGCCACAAATCTCCCGCCGCCCCCAGTATCCTGAGCTCTTCATTGCTCTGAACTTTCCATCTTCCCAATAAAGGAGGTTTGTCCAACTTTACACATCAGGAGACCAAATCTTCGGCAGACTGAAGGCTGGGGAAAGTAGTGGATTCGGGATGCGAACTTGGATATTCTGCCTCCCCATTCAGTGCTCTCCGTGACACTTGGGGGCAGGCCTTGGAATCACCTGCAAGGTGTTGCAGACCCAAATACCCACACCCCACCCAAGACGTTACAAAATGAGAATCCTTGGTTGAGTCTGTGCAGCTGAGATAGAGAACCATTGCCTAAGACTTCCAGGGTTCTCTGCATCTAGACAAGGTGTCCTTAAAGAGCCAGAGTTTCTTGTCTCCCCCAGATAAGAAGGAGCTGTGAGGACAAACAGTGGTAGCCTGGTGCCCTGAGTCATGTTGCAGTAGGGAAGCTCAGGAGACTAGTGCCGCCTCCACCTCCTGTGTGACCCCGTCATTCCCTTCCCGCTGGCCTTGAGATTCTGGAGAGCTGCTAGGATGTGCAGAGCCCCACACTGCCTCTGCACCAGGAACTCTGAGCTCTGGCTTGTCTCCCATTAGTCCTACATCTTGCTGGAGTCTCAGAGCCCTTGCCCCACCCTTCAGTCACATCCCTCTGGGCTCAGTGGCAGCTCATCAGCACTTCCAGGTCCTGAGCACAGCTCATATCCTGTTTTCTGGGGCCTCCTTTCAGATGGCCAGCCTGGTCAACACCTTTTCCCCACACTCTACATAGCTGGCCTTTGCTACGACTGCCTGGAACTGTGCTCTCATTTCCCATGGACATGAGCAGTAAGGTCTCCAACAGATCTGTGGCATCTGTGACAGCAGGGCCACATCCTTTATTTTACTGTCCGTGGTTTTCCACTGTGACCGGCAAGTAGTAGACTTCAATGAAAGACAGATGACTCTTCATCCGGAGCCCCACGCAGGGGTAGGAATGAATAAGATGTGAGTGATTTGCAAATATTTGCATACTGTGATAGACTACTTGAGTCCTGGGATTTTGCACGCTCACAGCACTCTACTGGTTACCAAGTCTCCTTCCCCAAGTCATAGCACGGAGTAGAGAAAGCCTGAGGTTGTGGGTTGGGACACTGGGGGTGAATGTGGCTCTAATATTTATTATCTTCCACTTAACTTCTTGCTTCTCAGCTTCTCCTACACAAAATGAATATCAGCATGTCTGTCCTGCCAATGCCAGGGCGTTATGAGGGTTCACTAAGGGAGATATGCATGGAGGCTTTTTGTAAACCAAGTGACAAAAATGGCTTCCTGTGCTACCCTCTTCCTCGAATCCAGG